GAAGCCTAAAACACTTAGGGTTAATATTCAACAGGGGGAAACAGTGTCAGTCATACTCTCAAAGGTTGAATCTGGATAGCCACCTAGAATTAGAAATGATTTTCTAGTTTTGCCTGTGGGTGCTTTGCTGATGGGAGTATCAAATAAACTGAGGAAAGAAGATTGGGTGTGCGTGTTCAGTTGCATGCAACAGGGCTTTCCGTGTATGGAGGTCTGAGATACCAGCCCCTCTGGAGCACCAAATTGTGATCTGTACACCAAAACTGTAGCCCTGGCTCCTGCTACCACTACTTTTAATACCACTACTGCTACACACACACACACACACACACACACACACACACACACCCTAGAGTCCACAGGCAGCCATTCAGAAAGCGCCCATGAAGAAAAGCCAGCAGCTGCCCCTTTAATAGGCTCCTGGGCTCACATTACAGCACACCATGGGGTTACACTTGGATTGGCAGGAGCTCCTGCAGAACCAACACCTAAGTCTGGCCACAGGAAGGCTCAACTCAGGGCTCCTGAGGATTTTGGAAGGAAGCCAAGCTTGAAGGCCAACTCTTCTGAGACTAGACTTCAGTTGCTGAGAAACCTCGAAAACAGGTTCCTGAATGATTCCCATGAATTCTAGTCAAATGCTCCTCTAAGCAACAAGTGAGCAGAGGCTGAGGGTGACCTTCAACCAAGTTTCTTTCACTTATTTATTTACATAGTCACCAAACTGAGAGATAGTCTGGATCAGGCTTGGTGCTAGGCTCAGCAAAAGACACGTGGACCCCTGAGAAGGCTCCAGAGTCCCATGTGACAGCTCGTCTGGGCCTTGCCTTAGTTCTTGGGCACCTGATTACAGAGAGAGAGAGAGAGAGAGAGAGAGAGAGAGAGAGAGAGAGAGAGAAGAAAAGAGTATGCCATAGACAGCATGGAGGGTGGCAAGAGGGAAACTGGGGAAACTGGTGGTGGGAAATGTGCACTGGTGAAGGGCTGATTGTTGGAACAGATGAGCTGTATAAAGAAACCAGGTAAGGAAATAGAATAATGGCCAATGAAAACAAACCCCGAGATTCTACATACAGAACTGAAACTACCAAGTGAAGGTAAATAGAGAAGGAACCTGGAGAGAGTGGGGAAGGTTAGAGGTGGCACCCAGGAGGTGGGTGTGATGTAGCAAATTAGCATTGTCTGCACAACTGTCCTCCCGTTGTTCATCGATTTGCTCAAGCGGGCCCAGTAACGTCTCCATCATGAGGCTTCTTGTTACTGTGTTTGACATATCGAATATGCCTTCATACACTTGGTTGTAGTGTTTGGGTACTCAGCCACCCTGTTCAGGTGTTAGGGAAGACACACACATTCTGTGGTGATGCTTATACATCTGACTGCACTGAGTTCAGAAATAAAATACGTCACGGGTAGCTTGCCAAGCTATACAGTAGGGATGAGATACTCACGGTAATTTGCCGGGCTCTCTGAGAGGGGCGAGGAATTTAACTTGGATACATCAAGTGGGCTGCGTGCAAAGCAAACACCCTACCCACTGTGCTATCAATCCACCCAGAGAATTAATATTATTATATTAAAGTAGCAAATTTATATTAATTTAATATTATTTTATAATTATATCATTACATTATATTAATATTTTATGTTATAATTTTAATATTGATAATTATTATATAATATATATGATATTATATAGCACCGCACTGTCCTCCCGTTCTTCATTGATTTGTTCGAGCAGGCCCAGTGAGAAAGAATATAGTATAACAAATTAAGCTTCTTTTTTTTTAAGCTTAATTATACAGGGCTGGAGCAATAGCCCAGTGGGTAGGGCGTTTGTCTTGCACGCGGCCAACCTAGGAAACCCAGGTTCAATTCCTTCGCCCCTCTTAGAGAGCCTGGCAAGCTACCTAGAGTATCTTGTCCGCACAGCAAAGCTGGCAAGCTACCCATTACGTATTTGATATGCCAAACACAGTAATAAGTCTCACAATGGAGACGTTACTGGGTCCGCTCGAGCTCATCGATGAACAGCGGGAGGACAGTGCAGTACTATATTATACATATACATATATATGTATGTGTGTATATATATATATATACATATATATATGCCTGTCTGTCTGTTTTTGGACTTTTGTATTTCATGCTCCTTCCACCATGGTCCTGTATGCAAACACACACACACACACACACACACACTGAGTAATATTTTATCAAAGTTTGAACACTGGCCAATTATGTCTGATTTATTTGGGACACTCATTTGTTTTCTTTTGAGGCCTCACCAGTAGTGCTCAGGTGTCACTCCCAGCTCAGTGCTTGAGGGTCACTTCAGGTACCAGGGATCTATTCTGGGCTTCCTGAATGCAAAACATGTGCTCCTGCCCAACAAGCTATCTTTCTGGCTCCTGAGATACTCACTTCAAACACAAAGCGGAGAATCTTTTTTTTTTCCTTTTTGGGTCACACCCGGCGATGCTTAGGGGCTACTCCAGGCTCTGCACTCAGGAATTACTCCTGGCAGTGCTCGGGAGACCAGGTTGGGTTCATGCAATGCAAATGCCCTACAGCTGTGCTATCATTCTGGCCCTCAATATTGTCATCTTAATGGTCAAGGAGAGAATGATAAAAAGAAGGCAACTTTAGGAAGGCATGTTCTGAGTGTCGGAACACACTTTGAGTGGGAATTCTTCAGCTTGGAAAGAAGCTGAGCCTGGACCACATCTTCCAGTCCCTGGTGATCCAGTCCCTGAAATCTCTTTGTTTTAGCCACGCGTGCGTGGCATTTGTTTTTATATATGAGGTTTCAAGGGGCTACATAATAAAATATCACAGGGCCAGAGAGATAATTCAGGAGTTAATGCATTTGCCTTGCATGCAACCAATCCAGGTTCAATCCACAAGTAATGCCAGCAATGATCTATGGTTCCTGAGCATAGAGCTAGGAGTAAGATCTGAACACAACCAGGTGTAATCCTAAAATAAAAACTAAAACTAAACTAAAATACACTGGAGCTGAGTGATAGTGTAGTTAACAGCAAATCTTTATGATGCAGTTACTTCATACCAAATGTTCTTTGTATAGTGTCTACTACATTACATATTGGCAAGACTATTAACATAGTGTAATATATATGTTACTCTTCAAATAAACAGATTTGAAACATTTATTGGAGTTATCTTCAATTTGTTTTTGTCAAAACATTTCTATAATAATACTATGAAACATATTAGATTGTGAGGCTAATAGTATTTGTTTTATTTGTCACTATTCATTAGGGAAATGCAAAAGAAAACCAGAATGTAAAACAACCATTTCGCACATCATAGGAGGGTTATTGAGAAGAAAAGCAACAAGAACAGCAACAGGGAAAGTGTTGATGAGAATATGGAGATACTGCATATAATGCTGTTAACATGTAAAATATCTCAAGCTCTGGAAAAATTGTTCAATTCCTAAATATTTCAGCATATAACAACCATATGACCCTCAAATTCCACTGTTTCACTCCTAGATACTGAAAAACTCGACAAAACTTTAATGTGGCCCCTATGATTCTGCTTTATTTCCTCCCTGTGGGACCCGAATCAAGCAGTTGTATTTTTAAAACGTTCCTTTAAATCAGTTTTAGACTAGAGACAAGTCCCACCATGTTAACTCAATATCTGACCAAATTCTTCATCTCCCACAATATCTGACCAAATTCTTCATTGGTATCTGATCACAGCGATCTAGCTTAAATAAGAATCCTGTCAAGTCCATTTACCCGGAATCCTGCATGCCAACCTTATTCCTGACATTTCCTCTTAGGAAATTTCTATCCACTGACCCTTCTTGTTCCTAGGCCCTCTGCCCCCTTGTTCATGCTGTACTTGTGATTGAGCACAGTTCTACAATTTAGGTCTGTTTTCCCCTTTTGGAATCATTCTGGAATAAAATGTGGCTTTCTTAAGTACACACACACACACACACACACACACACACACACACACACATCCCAAGGGACTTGGAGAGATGAACTCCACGCAAATATTAGCTATAAAAAGAAGTAAAATAGGGCCAGAAAAATAATAGAGGTAAGGAATTTGCCTTGTATGGGGCAACACTGTTGCACTGCCAGCGGCTCACTGCAAGACCAGAAATACCCCTTGAGCAACTCCATCTGTGGTACCTCTAACGCTCCCCCACCAAATGGAAAGAAATATTAATACTGTTATATGGTGCGTAAGCCTAGAAAACGTAATTTTCAAAAAGAAGACAGACATCAAAGGATCATATGCTCCATTGCATGAAATAAATCCAGTTCATTGATGTCCAGGAGAGGCATACTTTATTGGGAAAAAAAAGTGCTAAATGGGAATTATCAAAGTGGTTTGAAACTACACATCTTTTGGTGCATACACTACAAATGTCCCAAGTGACATCGTATCCTTTGTACAATCCGCGGGGAGTCGAGCCAGGAGAGGACAGAGGCAGCAGCCGCGGGCGCAGATGCCCCCAGCACAGCCAGCGCCAAGCTTGGGCTCTGCGGACGCAGCGTCGGCCTGCACAAGCCCCGCCTCCAAAGCGGCACGTTAGCCCCGCCCCTTCCGCACGCGGTCGCCCGCTCGCCCCGCCCAGCGCCCAGCCGGAAGTGCGGGTGCGGGTGCGGGAGGCGGCTCGCGGCGGCTCTGCGGCGGCGCGTAGGCGAGGGGGCGGGAAAGGCAGGGCCTGGGCTGCGGCCGGCCGCGCAGGCTCGAGCTAGGCCCCGCCCCGGACCCGCCGGCGACGGGGTCCCAAGGCCCGCCTCGGCGGAGGCCCGCGCAGGTGCGCCGAAGCGGGTGGGCGTGGCAGCGGGGAGGTCAGGCGCGCGAGATCTGGCCGGGGTCGGAGGTGAGCGAGCGGCTTCCGGAGCGGCTCTGGCCGCTTTCCGGCCCCGGAGCTCGCGGAGGAAGACGCGCTTCTCGGAGAGGCCGGGCCGGGCGCTCGGCGGGGCTCCGCGACCGACCTCTGCTGTCGCCTCGCGCCCACGACTTGCCAGACCGCGTTTTTTTTTTGTTTTTGTAGTTTTTTTGTTGTTGTTATTATTTCCGGTTTTTTTTGTTTTTACTTTGAGGTTCCAGTTCGAGGTATTTCCAGCACCTGCAAGCATTTGCAGTAGCGCCTGGGGGCGGGGGCGGGGGCGGGGGCGGGTGTCAGTGTTGAATCGAGGCCGCTAGCTTCGTGGCCGCCGAGAGCCCGAATCGGTACGGAAGCGCAGTTCGCTGGCAGGGTCCGAGCCCGCGTTGGTGGTGGGATGCGCGGACTCGCTGGCCGCCTCGGTCACTGCAGAGAAACGAGCCTGGCGACGCGGACGCTGTCTCCTAGCTACCCCGCCCCCCGCTTCGGCCCCGGGAGGGGACGGGACCGTGTTCCCAGAACTGGTGGGGAGCCCGGGAGAGGGGGCCGCGAGCAGGGAGGGGGCGCGCCCTGCTCGCGGCCGATCCGGGTTCGGTCCCCGGCATCGCGGCCCCCGAGCACGGCGCCAGGAGTCGGGCCCGAGCGGCCCCGGGGGTGGCCCAAAGACAAAGCAGAACGCAAGAGCCCTGGCGGGAGACACGCGAAGGGGATGCTCCAGGGCGCTGCTCCAGATGGGCGGTACCAGAAGCGTGGCCTTAAGTGGGGAGCCGTCGTCCCGGCCGGACGTCATCCCGGCGGATGTCGAATGCCGGGCCTGTGGCATGGACGGGATCGAAGGGTCTGCAGGCGGGAGGAAGAGGGGGAGGTGAAAATCGGAGAGTCCGGTTTCCTATCCTTGTGTGGCCCGGGCGCACTCCTGCAATTAAAATGCAGATGACTGCGGTAGTGATTTATCCCTACGCCTCTGAAGTGTTGGTTTTTTTAAGTAGCACGCTTAAAGACTAACCTCCGCAGTGTAGGTAACAATGTAACTAGTGTACGTAGTGCCAAAGTCACCGAGCTTTTTTCACGATCCTTTATCATTTTTGCTTTTTGGGTCCCACCTGGCGATGCCCAGGGGTTGATTCCTGGCTCTGCACTCAGGAGTTACTCCTGGCGGTGCTCAGGGGACCCTGTGGGATGCTGGGGAACAAACCCGGGTCGCCGCGTGCAAGGCAGCCGCCCTCCCCGCTGTGCTATGGCTCCAGCCCCCACAGTCCTTTATTTTCAACCTAAACTGGCAAAGCCCGAGCTTTTTATTTTAGTAGACCAAAAGCCACCAAAACATTTTTATGTAGATGGCAATTCTTATGTTTGGAGCCTGTTTGGAAGGTCGGTATTTACCCCGCTGTGTATAGACATAGACGCGCGGAGGTCAGAAGGTGTCCGGTGGTTTCGAAAGCAAGCGTCTCTCGAGCAAACGAACGCAGCAGGGAGTTTGCAGGCTGCTGAGCGCCGAACCAACCAATGGGAATCTCGGAGGAGGTGGCCGCGTGGGCAACCCACTTAGGCCACCTCCCGAGTTGAGACTCCGTATTTCAGAGGAAGGAGCTGCTTCGGTGCCTGGGTTGCTGGAGGAAAGAGCTGAAGGGTGGGAGCAGTTGGGCATTTAGGGGGCTATCCTGAGTCTTGTATCGTGACGGTCAGGAAACCTGTTTTGTAAAACGGAACTGGACAGTGAGCAGGGCCATGGGGTAAGGTGCTAGAGTACCAAAAACGAATAGTAATGGTGACACCAGATTTGATACACGGAATTCAAAAACTTCTCTCTCCTGGATGTTATTTTTTAAAATATTACTTGCCGAATTTATTTGCCCTGCCTCCTTAGAAAAACTCAGTAAGAGTGAATTGTGCAACACGAATCAGTGATCATGAAGAAGTATTAGGAATATATAAGCCTTGAATAGTTTTCCTTTATTTAAAAAAAATTTCCTTTTTCTCAACTTTTTAATGGGAATTTTTCTTGTTTTTGCAGTACTCTTAAGATCTATATTCAAGAAATGGTTTTCATTCCAGTATATCAGCGCACCTAAGTTTATCTTCTTGAATGTCCATTTGATACCACAATGGTAAGCCAGAGCTCATATTTGTGTTTCAGAACGTTCACTTTTTTCATCTCCATAATAACACCTATATTAAGGGAAGGCTTATAGGACCTGGTAGAGGGACCTGGGGATCTGGTGATGTCTATGGTGCTGAAACAATGTATGCATAAAATTACCATATGCAGTATTGCAAGTCACAGTACTTCAGTTTTTTAAAAAAATGTAATCATATGCACAGATAATTTTTTTTTTCATTGTCCTGGTTGGGAGATTACTTAGCAGTCACATGCAAATGCTCTTTACAAAATATGAGCTTATTTATGTTCCTTCTTATAATCCAGATCATTAGTGAGAAGCATGGGTATAAATACAAATTGTTTGGGGTAATAGGTACGAATTTCTCTTTTTTAAAGTCTTAAATATATATTTTAAATTAGAAAACATAAGATGCTTACTAGAATTACATTAATTTTTGCAGCACAGTGTTAGCCTTTTGATGGTATATTTGTTTACTAACTTAGAGGTACTAACCACATAGGACAAGGCTATTTTTGCTTAATGACTTTTCTATTAATGATTGAAAGACAGTGAGCTAAAAAGATTGTAGAAAGTTTAAGGCTCTAGCCTTGCATATGATCAACACCAATTCAGTTCCTGCCAGGGCCTATGGTCACCCAAGCCCTGCCAGTAGGGAATCCTGAGCACCGCCAGAGGGTGTGACGCCTGCCCCCCCAGAAATTTGAATAAGAACGTTTTTGGATGTTTTGAAAGATTAGCATTTATTAGTGAAGGAATAATTACCCACCACTGTGTTGAATAAACTTTGGAAAATGAATTTATCTTCTTTGAGCTCCTGTCAAGTATGGCCCCAGTTACCCTTGAGCTCAGCCAGAATAGACCCTGAACCCCACAAAAATTTTTAAATGATACGGTTATATCCAAGATTCCCTTGGCAATATACTTAATTATAACCAAAAGTTTGGTCTTTAAAAATATAGCCCTCTTAGTGTCTGTCAGGCCAGGATTGTTTCCTACTTCCCTTGCATGTGAGGCCCTGGCTTGAAACCTGGCACCGTTCTTCCCCATCTGCCCTTCAAAGAATAAAACCTTATTGTCAAAGAGTGTAGAGTTAACGGTTCTGTTCATGTGTTGGAAGGTGGCTTATGTTCAGAAATGTAATTTTGAATATTGGGACTCTGTTCCTTACAGGATTTTAAAAAACTCATTTGTTTAATGATCTTCTGGAATGATCTGGTATTTTGTACCCTTTCTGCGTTAATACTTTTTGTTTTGTTTTGTTTTATTTTGTTTTGGGGCATACCCTGCAGTTCTCAGTGCTTATTCCTGGCTAAGTGCTCAGGGGACACTCCTGATTATGCCTGGGGCCATATGGGATAGTGGTGTTGACTGCATGTAAGACAGGTACCCTACCCACTGTACTATCTCTCCAGTCCCCACATTATAAATGCTTGATAACATGGGAGATTTTTTTTTTATTATTGCAGTCTGTAAAAAAGTTAGCTATATTTGTCATTGGAATTCTCATTCCATGGGACAAGGTTGACAGGGTCCCTTAAAAGTTTTCAGTGATTCTCAAAGACAGGGCTGGAGCGATAGCACAGCGGTAGGGTGTTCGCCTTACAAGCGGCCAACCTGGCCAAACCCGAGTTCGATTCCTCCGCCCCTCTCGGAGAGCCCGGCAAGCTACTGAGAGTATCTCGCCCGTACGGCAGAGCCTGGCAAGCTACCCGTGAGGTATTCGATATGCCAAACACAGTAACAACGAGTCTCATGATGAAGACGTTACTGGGCCCGCTCGAGCAAATTGATGAACAACGGGAGGACCGTGCTTACCGTGCTCAAAGACAGTGATATTTATATTCTCTGTCCTATCTTCTGTTTCAGTGGGTGCCATGAATTTTATCCTATGCAACTTGTAGGTAGAATTATTGAAAGCAGAAATAGAAAAATTTAGGTCATCATAAATTAAAAAATTCTGGTCATCATAAATTAAAAAATTCTGTGCCTCAGAATTAAAAGTTACTACTTTAATTAAAAAATACTATAACTCTGTGTGGTACTTACCCTCAGAGTTGAAGGAATCTATGAATATTATGTTTGCTTGTAACCTTAGTATACTCTGGTATTCCAAGTGTCACTACAAAAGAAAATTTTATAAATGAATAGGCTAGAGTGTACCTTTTTATTTCTTTCCTTTGCCTTAAATAAGTGGGCTGGAGCAACAGCACAGCGGTAGGGCGTTTGCCTTACAAGCGGCCAACATGGCCAACCTGAGTTCGATTCCTCTGCCCATCTCGGAGAGCCCGGCAAGCTACTGAGAGTATCTCGCCCGTACGGCAGAGCCTGGCAAGCTACCCGTGAGGTATTCGATATGCCAAACACAGTAACAACAAGTCTCACGATGGAGACGTTACTGGGCCCGCTCGAGCAAATCGAGCCTTAAATAAGAAATGGATAAAGGACAGGGTTCTATTGGTAGATATAAACCAGGCAGCTGTCAAGTAGTAATAGTAAAGTGTCATCATTTTAAGATGAATTTCTTTTTTTAATATTACTGAATTAATGTCTACAAATAACATGGTTGACACTATTTTTTTTGAAATAGCATAACTGATTGTATATTAAACTTAATAAAATGGGGTAATGATAATGATCATTTGCTGCATTTGTTAGGCACTGACCTAGAAATTCTGTAATACAGATTCTCTGCTTTATATAAAACTTTGGTTATTAGGTAATTAACATAATAGCACACCAATTTTCAGAACCCCTAGCAGATAAGGAGGTTATTTTACAGCTTAATTCATGTATTTTCCTGAATTCTCATATTTCCCTTAGAATGCTGAAGAAAATGAAAGTTACATATAATTCCCCCTCTCCCACTAGCCACAGAGAAAATAGTTTCAAAATTTTTTTGTCTAATTTGCTATCATTACATGTTCATGATTGCTATTTCTTTCATAAGATATTACATAGAGTGGAGTTAAGAAAGAAAACATGTTAGAACTTTTTGTTGAAGACAGAAATGTTATGTGTATTTTATTTGTGTGAAAATAGCTAATAGCCAAATATACTTGTTTACTTTTTACAGCAGCAAGCACTAGAACTAGCTTTGGATCGTGCAGAGGTGAGATGTGCCTAAGCTATGTATTGAAATAACATTGTCTTTAGTTGACAAAACTCACTTTTAAGAGATATTTGTGTATGATTGTCAAAAGGTATTATTTTAGGACAAGTATGCAAATAATTTGTTGTCATTATACAAAAATAGCAGGTGATGTTTGTGTCATTTGTTACTTGGATTTCTCAGAGTGCTACCGGATAAAAATTAAAGTACTTAGGAATAGATGCTTTACTTGCAAAAGAATATAGAATTTCTAAAATCATGTTTTCCTATTCTGACAAGTTTTCTCATTATTGAATTAAAGGGGAAAATAGCTTTAAAAATACAGACTTTGCAATTGAATATATCATGCATAGCTTATTGAAACTTTCTGACCTGTGAGATGACAGTTGTGATACTATATATTTTACAGATGCCATAGTAGTAAGATAATTGAGCTGAGTTTTATTGCATTTTAAAGTTCACTTTAGCTTAATTAAAAGTTGCCATTTTTCCTACAAGGTAGGAGTTAATACTGTTTAGACTTGAATGACTATTCTTTATAACCTTATATCTGTTTTAATTAAAGTTAATATAGTTGTTCATACAAAAGACAATCTGTTTTCATAAACTTTATTTATTTATTTTTTTAGTATGTTATTGAAAGTGCCAGACAGAGACCCCCTAAAAGGAAATACCTATCTGGTGGAAGGTATGAAAACTTACTTGTTGACATACTAGAGTCATCGAGAAAATATGATACCCAGCATTTAACCTTCTATATGGGACCTGAGCTAAAAGTACTTTGAATGTATCAAAATAAGAAGTAACTAGCTACCATATTCTATTCTACATCACCGCTAACTTTTTTGATGAAGACTTACAGAAAAATTCAAATAGTATTTGTTTTATGATGATTCACATTTTATTTATTATTAAATTTTAGAAAATCTGTGTTTCAAAAACTTTATGATTTATATATTGAAGAATGTGAAAAAGAACCTGAGGTTAAGGTAAGTATAGACTTTTTTTTTCTTTTATAGTTTTTAAAAGGAAAAAGAAAGGGTAAATTCAGAGTTTTACTTGAGTGTTTGAGTGTAATTCGGTGTTTTTGTAGAATAGACTCTCTGTAGCCATGGCTAATGCCAGCCTGCTTCGGTAGGAAAGGGGACCCGTGCTTACTGTCTCACTAGGAAGTAAAGGGAGAGTAAAATCTGTGTTATCTTTTGCTTCCCCCTCCCCCCAAGAAATTATTTGCAGACTAAAGACAGGATGGGAGAAGGGGGTGGAAAGAAATTTTTCTTCACAATCATTTCCATGGGAAAGTGAAAACTAATAAAGCAGTGTGTAGGTTGGCTGGGGAGATTGCTCAGAGCTCTGGGGCGCCTGCTTTTCAGGCTGCATTATCCCCAAGCACTGCCAGGTGTGGGCCTTCTCCCTCCAAGCAAAAAAACAGTAGGAAATTGAAGTATGATAATAAAATGTGAATTTGATCACGAAGACTATCATATGGTCAAGTTAATTCATTTGTATTTATCAAAAATACAGCAGAAATGAATTTGATTTCTTGATGTCTTTGAGACTTTTTGGTCTGATTTTTGATGTCGGTTTTGGGCGCCCCATCCCCAGTGGTGTTCAAGGTCTATTCTCGGTGCTCTTGGGTCACCCCTGCATATGCTACATAGTTGATGCATAAGGTGCCAGCTTCAAACCAGAAGCTCCTACGTGGAGATTTGGATCGACTTCCTCAGCCCTCCTATAGCTCACCTTGAATTAAATTGAACCCAGACTGTTTCTAGAAGTGCTTTTTAACACTGCCAGTTTATCTGGTCTGTCATGCCAAATTGGGTTTTCTAGATACTCAAAATATAAAAATTTTTTTTCACTATTTTTTCTTATATAAAATGGTTTGCCCTTTTTTTTTCTTTACAGTTTTCAAAATGCAGGGATTTTTTTTCTCTTATGGTGACAGTAGAATAAAGATTTGTTTCCTCTCTGTTTGACTGTATATAATGAAATATTCTAAGCCTTTGTTTTTCACCATCATGGCAAAAGTGTTTATTGACTAATAATCTATGTAAGTAAGAATTGATGAACGAAATTGCTCCATATGTTACATTTTTGTCATGCATTGCTAAAGCAATGAATTTTGATGTATGTGTATTATATTTCTTAATTTATTTTTGCTTTGAACTCCCTGATTTTTAAAGAAGCTTTTAATTTGAATTCATAGAAAATTGCTTACTTTCTCCTACCAATTAGTTATTTTTAGCATTTCATCTTAGCGCTATTAAACTTATTTGGATCTCATTTAGGACATAAAATATCTAAGAAATGATCACCTGTAACAGTGAAAAAGATTTACCCAGATTTTTATTTGTATTGATAAATGCTAAGAGTATAGCATGTATGCTTATTAACAGTGATCTGCTTATTTTTAATATTTGCTACTTTTATACTAAAAGGTACATAGTTAAGTAATTGTTTTATAAATTACTAGATTTTCTTTGTGATATGAATTAATTTGCATAAAACCTAGTAATCAAAAACTAACGTAAATGTCCTATTTGTTGGCTCTAATGTGTGAATCTTTCTCTTATAGTCAGAATTACAATGTAGGCATACCAATCCAGTTTGATTTTGTTAAATTATAGCATTATTTGTTAAGGTGTTATTGGATTATTTTAATGAACTCTACTTCTCTTTAAAGCAGAAGTTACGAAGAAATGTGAATTTGCTAGAGAAGCTTGTGATGCAGGAGACATTGTCATGTTTAGTGGTCAATTTATACCCAGGAAATGAGGGATATTCGCTAATGCTCAGGGGAAAAAATGGATCAGGTAAGAACCTCCAGAAAGCAGAAGCTGTACAAGAATTGCTCTTGCAAGTGGAATGTGCTTTCTTTAAGAAATAGTTCTTTAAGGTAGGGAAGGGAACACTAGGACATGGGGAAGAGAAAAGTGCCTGTCACAGGGCCAGGCTGGTGGGGCAGGAGGGAGACAGGATATTGGTGGAGGGTCGTGGGCACTGATGAAGGGATTGGTATTAAAACAATGGAAGCCTGAAACTCAGTCATCTGTATCTTTGTAACTTTAATTCATAGAGATTCGATTTTGTAAAAAGTAGTTCTTAGCCAGCTAAGTGATCATTCATTAGAGCAGCAGATCAGTAATAATTTGACGATAAAACTTTGATCCCAGATTTTCTACCATTTAATGTCTGTGAGAACATTAGGGCTGGAGCGATAGCACAGCGGGTAGGGCGGTCGCCTTACAAGTGGCCAACATGGCCGACCCGAGTTCGATTCCTCCGCCCCTCTCGGAGAGCCCGGCAAGCTACCGAGAGTATTCGATATGCCAGACACAGTAACAACAAAGTCTCTAATGGAGACGTTACTGGGCCCGCTCGAGCAAATCGACGATCAACGGGAGGGCCTTTACCTTTACCTTTTTACATTAGAAGTCATCTATTAGTAGTCTCCCTAAATATGCATTTGATTAGTATGCATATTCAGTCTTTATATTTGACATGCATATTTAAGCATTCTGATTAACATTTTTCATTTGTAAATATACAGATTTTACTCTAAAAGCGTCTAAATTTTGAGGTGATGGTGTTACAGGTTCTGCATGGTTCTGCATCTAGTTAAGCTTTGTTAGTGAGTTGAACTTTTAATGAAAATATAATACTAAGAAAATTTTCTGTATATGATGTTTTTGAGATTAGGTACCAGACCACTTTGGTTTTCAGATTAAGAGTAAGAAATTTTGAAGAAACTTAGAGTTCTTGACATTAGTATTTTGTCAGTCTAATTTTTTTTAATTGATTTTGTGATATGTCGAATAGTTTCCCACAGAATGTTAATTTGTTAATGTATTTTTCTTCTTTCTGGTCTCAGTCATGTCATTTTAAAAGTTTTTTTTTTTTACCAATGTATAAGGTTTATAAGATTTAATGTGTCTCAGGTGCACTTATTGGGTATTTTTTAAAATAAGTCATTTAAGTTATGCTACTAGGCTTTTCAGTGATCTGATTAATTTTAAGAAACTTTGTTTTAAAATTAAGATTCTGAGACCATTCGACTGCCTTATGAAGAAGGGGAATTGCTTGAATACTTAGATGCAGAAGAATTACCTCCTATTTTGGTTGATCTTCTAGAAAAATCTCAGGTATAAAAATTAAAATTTCTTTTTTGGATCTTTTAAGTTAATTTTGAGAGACATAGTTGGCTATGTGGAATAAGTTTTATAAGGTTATTTATCCTTTGGACTGTTTCTAAAATACATGTATTTAGTTACGTCTTCTAAGATTTTTGTGGGGTGGAGTTAGTTGGGGCCACATCTGGCATTGCTTAAGGTTTACTCCTAGCACTGCTCAGGAATCATTTTTTTTTTGGGGGGGGGGTCACACCCAGCGATGCACAGGAGTAACTCCTGGTTCATGCACTCCGGAATCACTGCTGGCGGTGCTCAGGGGACCATATGGAATGCTGGGAATCAAACCCGGGTCGGCTGCATGCACGGCAAACGCCCTACCCGCTGTGCTATCGCTCCAGCCCCTCAGGAATCATTTCTGACAGTGCTTAGGAAACTATATACTGGGGTGGGGATCAAAGTGGGTTTGGCCATGTGCAAGGCTTAACTCCAGTCCCCTAAGATTTTTGTAATGTATTTATTCAGAAATCTCGATAGCTAAAGTCAGGAAATTATTGAAGAAGCTACATAGTTCAGAGCCACTGCCAGGAGGGTTTCCTGGAGAGTTTTCTGAGCATTCCTGGGTGTGGTCCTAAAACCAAAAAAATAAATATTTGTGTGAATGACTAAGGAATAACTAAAAGTGAAAGAATCTAAAACATTGAAATAAACTTATTTCTGGAGCTTTTTGAAAAATGACATTTAAATATTTTCATTCAAAACAGGTTAATATTTTTCATTGTGGCTGTGTTATAGCAGAAATACGTGACTATAGACAGTCTAGTAATATGAAATCTCCTGGTTACCAGAGTAGACACATCCTCTTACGTCCAACAATGCAGGTAAGGCAAGTTTTTTGGGTTTTTTTTTTGTTGTTGTTTTTGTTCTATAAAATGTTTTCACATGTTTCATATGTAAATATATTTTTTAATATTTATTTTCTTCTAGACTTTAATCTGTGATGTGCATTCAATAACAAGTGATAACCATAAATGGACCCAGGTTAGCTATTTTGTTTCTTAATCCCTAACAAGAAAAGTAGAAACTAAAACAATGCTTACCTGCTCAATTAATCTCAATGTGAAATTCATTTTTCATCCTTTCTCAAACAGAAAAAATTTGTCTTTTTTGTTCCGTGAATATAAACAGATACTGATTTTCAGTTACCTAGAATGCTAGAGAAGGCATAACCTGTCTTTGTTAATTGTACTTACGTTCACCATGAGACTAGCCAAATAGCTCTTCAATGCTAGCCTCATCACTGAGTGTTCTTTAAATTCTGTGTTGCTTTAGAAAAGAATAGTTAATTAAGCCAAAGAAAATAATTAGTCCAACTATGAAATAAGATTATGAAATGCAAGTCACTTGTAATAGTAGCAATAAATTGTTTTCTTTTGGGCTATAGTCTTTTCATCAACAAAAGGCAAAAACTATTGAATGATCATCCAAAAATAAAAGCTTTGGGGCCAGAGCTTTAGCAGGTAGGGCACCTGCCTTGCTAGCAGCTGACACGGATTCTATCCCTGGCCTCTCATAAGGTCCTCTGAGCACCGCCAGGAATAACCCCTAAGCATCACCAGTGTGACCAAACACACACACACACACCCCCCAAAATAAAAAAAAAAAAGCGCAGTGGTCACTATTGATGATTGTTGGACCTTGAGTTTACTCTGAAGATTGATGATGAGAGCAATTGCAGCGTCTGTTTTGCTGTTCCTGTATGAACTGTACACTGGTGGCCCGTAGTTATTAAGAGGAAATTCTTTAAAAATACTATGGCTACTAACTAGAAAAGGAATGATAGGTTTCTGAAACATTTTCTCAGTTATTTTAAAATGTTCGGTTACTATGGTTCTTAGCAGACTCCCATGTATATTACTGGGTTGAATAATATGTATAATTTGAAAGTCTAAACCAGCTATTCACATCAACTCTTAAATGTTTCAGGAGGACAAACTTTTGCTTGAGAGCCAACTGATATTAGCTACAGCTGAACCATTGTGTCTTGATCCTTCTATAGCAGTAGCCTGCACTGCAAACAGGCTACTGTATAACAAGCAAAAGATGAACACACGCCCAATGAAAAGGTAAAAGCGCCTCTGTGGATGTATAAAACGATGTTCTAAATAGGTGGCTTTAAATTTTGCTGTTCTTCTTCTTTCCCTCTAAGTTTGTAAGTGCTCCAATTACCCTCTGTCTCCCGCCCCATAAGGTTTTAATGGATTGGGCTTTTTTTGTTTGTTTTAGAATTTAATGCTCTAATAAAATAATGCTTTATCTGTATTTTGTAGAGCTGTCTTTCCATCAGTTTAGAACTGTTCATCAAAAAAGGCTGAGAAAAAAACAACTGTGAACAGCAAGAATAATTTGCTGGTTTTGACTGACAAAAACCAGTTTACGTTTTGTTAATATTTTCAATAATTCAAAAAATTCATAGTTTTTGATTTGGTAAATATCAGTTTTAGGCATCAGTCTATAATAACCCGTTTTATAATATGGTAGGTTGTTTTAAAAGTTTCGGCTTAATGAAATAAAAATTAATATGGACTGCAGTCGATGTAGCTTATCAAGAACTCAGTGTGAGCTACAGAGATAGTATAGGGGTTATACACTTGCCTTATTTATTTGGACCATACTCAGTTTGATTCCTGGCATCACATGATCTCTTTAGCACTTTTCAGAAGTAAGCACTGATCGCTGCCAGGTGTGGCCCCAAAATAATTTATAAAGTAGTTGTTTGAGTCACCTGCATTTGATGGTTTTCATCTTCGAAGGGTCTCAAAACAGTTACTTGCTAAATTCTGTAGTTGGATGAGTAAATATATTATGAAGACAAGTTGCTCTTCGAAAATAGTAAACGGGCTGGAGTGATAACATAGCGGGTAGGGCGTTTTCCTTGCACGTGGCTGACCCAGGTTCAATTCCCAGCATCCCATATGGTCCCCTGAGTACCACCAGGAGTAACCCCTGTGTATCGTCAGGTGTGACCCAAAAAGCAAAAAAGAAAAGAAAAGAGTAAACAAGTCAGCACAGTTTATTGTCCTAAAGATTTTTATCTCTGTCCACATTCCTCCATTTCTACTCCCAGTGTCTTAGTTCACCTGTCAACATCTGCATCTATGTTTTCTATAATAAATTCCTATCCAGTATTTTGATCTCCCAGCTTCTGTTCTTGTTTCTTGGGTCTTTGCAACATCTTGTAGTATTTTATTGGGGACAGGGAGAGGAGGCACACTCAATGGTGCTCAGGGATTATTTCTGGCTCTGCTCTCAGGAATTACTCTCGGTGGGCCAGGGAGAGTCGTACAGGATGCTGGTGTCAGCTGTGTGCAAGGCAAGCACCTTATCCACTGTATTATCTCTCCAGCCCAATTCCTAGTAATCAATAAAAAAGCCTCAAAATTGGTTATTTTAAACCACTGCTTAAAATGTCCTTGAAAGAAGGGGAGGAGGGATAGTACAGAGAGTAAAGTGTCTTGCACGCTCCCAGCCTAGGTTCAGTCATTAAGACTCTTTATATTCCCTTGAGCCCCATCAGGAGTGATCCCTGAGTGCAAATCCACTATAAGCCTTGAGCACAGCAGGGTGTGGCCCAAACACAAAAGAAAAACATTTAACTTCCTTGAAAGCATCCCCTGGGTTTGAGAGGAACAGCAGATAGCTTCGAGAGCCTGAGCATACGGTTATGAATTTGAATCACTGATGTCCCACACATCTTTATGGTCCTGGCAGATCTTATGTTTGAGCCTTGAGACTCTGCTATCTTGAATCAACCCTCCTAACTCTACAGCCAGGGTTGTACTCATACGAGCACCAGAAAAAGGGGTACAACTCTAGCTAAGTACTGTAAGGAAATGAGATACACAGATTCCATGACCACGAATTGCAATCCCTGGGAGCATACATGTAAGTACTGAGGGATCCTTTTCCCCACCCTCCAACTAAAAACCTTATACCTACAGCCTGTGTGCCTCAACTAGAGTACAGACCTTGGTGAGCACATGAGGGAAAGTGCAAACCTCACAACCTTGAGTGCAGTTCTTGGTCGTTGCAACAACAAAGGGAAGGAAGGGGGCGGGGAGGAGGAGAAATATTTCTCAGAGGCCTAGAGAGAAAAGTTCAGCAGGTTGCTTGCATGCTTTACATGCAGGAGGATTTGATTCAGTCCTTGGCCTACAGAGAGCCCGAGCACTGCCAGAGTGACCCCCCGGGGTAGTGCGATTCTTGGTCATAAATCGTCCTGATCAGTGCCAGGCATTGCCCCCAGATTCATGAGTAAGCAAATTTTAAAAATAAAAATGGAGTCGGGGTGCTAGAGAAGAATGCAGAGTTAGCTTTTATAAGACCCTGATTTGATTCCCGGCCTGCATGATGAGCACTGTTAGTTATGCCTTGAGGATCCCTGAGAACAGCTAGATATGACTCGTCCCCAGCACCTCAGGGTCCAGTAGCACCACATTCTCAAGCCCTAGCGTTGAATCATCTGTTGTAGTTGACCAAGAATTGCTAGGAGTACCTCTGATCTGACACCTGTTTGGGAAGCAAATCTTGGTAATGGCCGTTTAAACATGTTATTTATTTGAAAGGCCTCTTTCTTACTTCGTGACCTCGTCTACTATTGTGTAGACCTAAGTGCTCTAAGAATACCTGTGTTCTCTGCCTTCAGATTTTAATTGTTGGCTGCACCAGCATTGCTTGGGCCCACTGTTATTTGAAGAGCACCAGGTGGGCCTTACCTGGTGCTGAAGCATTGAACTTAAGCCTTATACTAAAGCCCTTTCCCTTTAAAAAAAAAAATCATGTTTGGTGCTTATCTTGCGCTTGTCTTGCATGTGGCTGAGCTAGATTTTATCCCAGGCACCCTGCTGAGTGTGCCCCCGACTCCCCTTCCCCCAAATGAAGTAATAAAACCAGATTTGTTTTTGCTTTAGCACCTTTCGAGATTCTTCGATGTTTCAGGTACTCACTTTCTGATGTGATAGGTGGTTTTCTCTTGTCATTCATGTCTTAGGTCACTTACGTTTTTTCAAAGAATCCTTCCCTTTTCTTACCTCTCCCTAACACTGAAAACAGAACTTTTTTTTCCCTTTCTGGACTGATTCGCTACTTTTCCTCCTCTTTTCAGATTTGTTGTTACAGGAAAGGTTTTTGCCTAGGACTGTTTTCCCAAAATGGGAATTACCACCCTCTGGCCCAGACTGGATGGTAGTGATGTTGGATACAATTTTAGGCACATTTTATAATTGTTTTGTAAAGAAGGTAGATTTGCAGAGTGGTGATATGTGTATATACATACATACATATATACACACATATATAAATAAACATATACATACACATATATATATGTACATGTGTGCTGCATTTTGCATGTGTTTGTGTTTCTGGAAAGGGTTGGTTGGTAGCCCAGAGTTTTGGATCTTCTGTTCTAGGACATTGTGTGACAAGTGAGACTATTCCACAGATACTGTCGCTTTATTTTATGTGATATTGATTCATACAACCCTCTTTAAATTCTGCGGGTTTTTTTTAATTAGTCATTAGTTTCTATGTTTCTGCATTTCAGGTGTTTCAAGAGGTATTCCAGGTCCTCTCTGAACCGGCAGCAGGATCTCTCACATTGTCCACCTCCTCCTCAGCTGAAATTACTCGACTTCTTACAAAAAAGAAAGGAAAGAAAGGCAGGTCAGCATTACGACCTGAAAATTTCTAAGGCAGGAAATGTAAGTTGATTTTTAAATGAAGGTTATTCTGCCAGAAGCCTTGCTCTTTTCAGTTTTTATTTTATTAACACTACTTTTACTTTTTCAGTGTGTGGATATGTGGAAACAGAGTCCCTGTAATTTGGCTGTTCCTTCTGAAGTGGATGTAAGTCAGCTCTTAAACTGTACTTTTTTTTTTTTTGCTTTTTGGGTCACCCTGGCGACGCACAGGGGTTACTCCTGGCTCTGCACTCAGGAATCAGCCCTGGCAGTGCTCAGGGGACCATATGGGATGATGGGAATCGAACCTGGGTTGGCTGCGTGCAAGGCAAACGCCCTACCTGCTGTGCTGTTGCTCCAGCCCCAGACTGTACTTATTTTTATATATGATTTCTACGTTTAACCAACACCGCTTATACTTTAGGAAAAATAAAGATTCTTACTACTTTCAAAAACTGAATAATTGGTTTTTTTAAGTTGACCGCTCAGTTTCAGAAGCTGTGTTTTACATTAATTCAAATAAAAATGAAATCTTTTGATACTGACTTATATTTAGAGCAGCAGAAATAGCCACAACATGACATGGCACATTTTACTTAAGATGAATAAAATGCTTCTCGTGTTTTGGTTTTTTGTTTTTGTTAATATTTCATCATGATTTCCTGATGCATTTCTTCATTCACAGAATAGGCCAAATTACATAACCTTTACTGTTATTTCTTGAAGAGTGATCATATATGTATGTATGTATGTATGTATGTATTGTTTTGGGCCACATCTGGTAATCCTCAGGGGTTACTCCTGGCCCTGCACTCAGGAATCACTCCAATGCTCTTGTCTGTTAGTGCTTGTGGACCATGTATAGTGCTGGGGATCAAACCCCAGTTGGCCGTGTGCAAGACAAAAGCCCTACCTACTGTACTATTGCTCCAGCCCCAAATGTATTTTTTTTTATATGGACTAATGTAGGTTATTTTTTGGTTATACTGATTTTATTATAGCTGGTATTCTCTTGATTTGACTGCTTAGGTAGAGAAATATGCTAAGGTGGAAAAGTCCATTAAATCTGATGATTCACAGCCAACAGTTTGGCCTGCCCATGTAAGTAACATTGCAGTTTCCATTTCTCATTATGCTGTTTCTACTCTAGGGTCTGAATTTGTTAAGCATAAGTGAAATTGCCAGTAGCTTGGAATTTTTATTTTCCAAACGACTTAATAATGGTTCAGTGAATTTCAACAAGGAACTGCTATTTAGTTTTGTCTTGCATAAAATAAGAATTATTTTAGAGGACAGTTTTCTTTTTTCAGTTCATTTATTGAGATAGAAATTATTGGTATATACAGGAATATTAATAGCTGCATTTTTACTTGTAGTTTGATCATGTACTGTTCTAATTTGTTACAAAAGAGTAGTTGTTAGCCATTCTAGAATGCATTTTATTTAAATTTCCCTGATTATACTTAATTGCTTTGGGAAGCAATAAAATATACACAATGTTTAAATTAGTCTGTGAAATGAGAGATACATTGCTTTGCAACAATGAAAAGCAAATGATAGAAACATTTGCCTTCAAAAGTTTTAATATTTACATTAATAAGTCCAATGAATCACATTCTTCATATTTCACAGAGCCTTGATTATTTAAGTATTCCACTATAAGTATTTCATTAGAACTCAGTTCACAAAATTCTGTGTTAAAAAGGATCCTGAGTTTCATTCTCTTGGGCAGTTTTAGTTAGGTGTGTCGTCTAAGTGCCATTTGTTTTCCTTAGTGTGACATTTATTTCTGATTTTTCTTAATATGGTTATACATTTACTAGAGAAGGTACTTATTTGGGATGTTCCCGTCATTTTCAGGATGTTAAAGATGATTATGTATTTGAATGTGAAGCTGGTAATCAGTATCAGAAAACAAAGCTAACCATTTTGCAGTCGCTTGGTGACCCACTTTACTATGGTAAAATACAGCCATGTAAAGATGATGAAGAAAGTGACAGCCAAATGTCTCCATCCCAGTGAGTATATCTGATTGACAAAATCAGGCATCTATTGAAGTCATGAAATTTACATACAAGTGGTACAATATGGAAAGTATCATGCTAAGCGAAATGAGTCAGAAAGAGAGGGATAGACATAGAAAGATTGCATTCATCTGGGGGATATAAAGTAACAAAGTATGAGATTAATACCCAAGAATAGCTGAGATCAGCACCAGGAGGATTACTCCATAACTTAGAGGCCAGCCGGGTATCCTAGAGGAAAGGGCAGTTCAGATAGAGAAGGGAGCACCAAATAAAGGATGTTTGGAGGATTCTCCCAGGAGGGGAGATGCATGTCGAAAGTAGACTATGGACTGAACATGTTTGCCACTCAATGCCTCTTTTGCAGACCACAACACCCAAAAGGAGAGAGAGAACACAGGGGATTGCCCTGCCACAGAGACAGGGGGGATGGGGGGATGGGGGTGGGAGGGATATTATCCATGGTGGTGGAAAATGGGCACTGGTGGAGGGATGGATATCTGATCATTGTATAATTGAAACCAAAGCACAAAAAATTGTAAATGTACAACTGTAAAAAAAATAAAATAAAGGGAAAAAAAATCAGGCATCTATTTAGAGCTAATTAATTAATAAAAATTTCCCTTTGGGGATTTATTTCTTAGCTAAATGCTGCAAATAGATTTGGCGGTAGACCTAAATAAACTTATAGTCACCATATTGCATGAGGGTTATTTACAGTAGTGATTTCTTTTAAAGAAATTGATGGTATGATTTTTCTAATACTTCATTTGAAAGGTTATACCTGTGATAATCCCCTTTGTCTATTTGTGTGTTGGTATTTTTTGACTTTTTTGTGTAAGCATGAAATGTTTCCAAGCACGTTTGTTCAAGTGGCAGCAAGTTGACTACGTAGAAGCTGTTAAAGGTGCTCCATATTTCAGTATTGCATGTAAAGACCCAGACTTAGTGGGTACATGCTACTTGACTGTACACACAAACACATGCTAATCTTCTGCAACTTAAAGTCAATGTGAGGGGAAAACAGTCTCATTTTTGTCACATTTTGAGTTTTTGAATTTTTGTGTATTAAGTAGAAGAGACAAGATAAAATGATTACTGATATAAACTCTTTCCTTTAAAGATCTAAATTGTTGACTTTCTCTTGTAACCGGTAATATGATCTCATTTTTTAAAAAACTGGTTCAAGGGCCAGGTTCTGCAGAACATGGTTTGCATGCTGGAGCCCAGAATTTGATCCCTGTCACAGCTCACCCAAGCAGCTGAACCAGGAGTAGTTCCTAACCTCCACCAGGTTTGTCTCAAAAAACAAGACAAAAATTGATTTAAAAATTCCACTTAAGAGAGGAAAAAAATCCATTTGAGTGGCCTGAGTTCAGCAGTTGTAGTTCAGTAGTTGCCTTGTGCATTGCGTATGGTTCCCTGAGCACCGCTGATTGTGACCCCTACCCCCCTCCTCCCACCAAAAAGTCCACTTGATTATATTTAACAAGAAAATTAAAATTTTTTTATGCCAAGGAATCGAATTCTGCATCTTTAGTGTCTGGATAACCATTTCTATCAAGTTAGTAAATTGATAAGTATGAAGGTAAGGTTTGAGTTGTTGTAACCAATTTTTTTCTTTTTTTACATTTTATATTTCAGCTCTTCCACAGATGATCATTCAAATTGGTAATTAAGTAAAACTCATTTTAATGTTAAGAAATTATGTATGTGTGACTTTAGAGAGATTGATGTATATTTGAGTTGACGCTAAACTACCTTGTATAAAATATTTTCTAAGATCTTGGAATGTATATAAGAATCTTGGAATGTAATAGTTACTTCCAGAATTAAAGGAAAATCAGAGCATTGCTTACTTGTAATTCAGTGATTATTAATATAGGGCAGGTGCTTGCTAGAATGTATCAACAACTCTTAAACCAGGATTTGTTTTTAATTATTTAAGCTCTGTGCCAAAATAAATTTGCCTTAAGTGAGCCAAATCATTCACAGGATCATCTCATTGCTTAGTCATTTAAAGCTTAGTTCAGCTGTTTCATACGTTTCTGTGTTTTTTTGTTAGAAAATATTTTGTTAGATTGTCATATTGTCCTGGTGGATTCTAACTCAGTTTATAAAATAACTCACTGAAAAATTGAAGCCTTGTAAAATAATTCCCAGACTTAAAAGACAACTATTACCTAAATGTCTTCCTTTTTCAAAACATTTTCAGGTTTGTTATTGGATCAAAGACTGATGCTGAAAGGTAAGAATAACTTGCTTCTTTATTATGAATTTTATAAATACGGAAAACTCTTGCAGGATAGTGAGTAATCCATTTGAGCCAAACTGGTATAGTTATGCCAAAGGTGTTACTAGAAAATTTTTAGGTAGAGTTATGAAAATCAATATGTGAAAGATATTTTCTCGGTAATATTGTCACGATCACGATCATCCTGTTGTTTGTCGATTGCCTCGAGCAGTCACCATTAACGTCTCCTTCTTCCTAGCCCTGAGATTTTAAAAGAGCCATTTCAATGCTCTTTCAGGATTAGGAGAATGAGACCCATCATTGTTGCTGGTATTTAGCATATTGAATATGACACGTGGGGCTGGAGCGATAGCACAGCGGTAGGGCGTTTGCCTTGCACGCGGCCAACATGGCCGACCCGAGTTCGATTCCTCCACCCCTCTCGGAGAGCCTGGCAAGGTACCGAGAGTATCTCGCCCGCACGGCAGAGCCTGGCAAGCTTCCCGTGACGTATTCGATATGCCAAACACAGTAACAAGTGCCACAATGGAGACGTTACTGGGCCCGCTCGAGAAAATCGATGAACAACGGGAAGACTGTGGCTGTGACTGACTATGAATATGACACGGTAAGTTTGCCAGACTCTGCCGTGCAGGCAGGATACTTTTGGTAGCCTGCCAGGTTCTCCAAAGGAGAAATAAGATAATTCACGGCCATGCGCTTCCGGGAGCTGGGTTTTATGTCTCTGCGTCCTGGCCGTTGATGGGACCAACCTGGCGCTGGCGGCAGCTGCTGGGTGTGATGCCTACCTACTGGAAGATGGAGGGTCTAGGTGGAGAGGCCCAGTCCCAAAGCGAGTAGGCTTGGAGACCTTAGCCCCGGGACCCGCATGCCTGGGTTCCTCTGCCAGTTCTTTCATGCATGAGGCCCGTCCAGACGTGTGGAGAGTGGTCCCAGCATGGCCGTGGCTGGCTCTGGAGGTCCTCAGCTGCTGGGGCTCTGCTCAGGATGGGGGGTGGGAGGTTCAGGGGGGAGAGAAACTCAACCCTCTCCCCCTCCAAGGGGCCCCGGTGAGGACAGCCAGGCGCAGGGGCAGGAGACTCTGTAATATTGTAATTAGAATAAAAATGAAAATGAATATTTTTAACTGCTTAACAATTAAATAACTACCATAACTTCTGTAGTAGAAGCAAAATATCTTTTAGTTGGATAAAATGTGAGTATCTCATTGTAGATGTCTAACTTTATGTTATTTTTAATGGAATACTATTTATTATTACATAATGTTTTACTAATATCTATTTTGAACTATTATTTTAGGGTAGTTAGTCAATACCAAGAATTGGTTCAGAATGAGGCAAAATGTCCAGTAAAGATGTCACATAGCTCCAGTGGCTCTACCAGCCTCAGTCAACTTTCCCCAGGAAAAGAAACAGAAGTGAGTTTGGTCGCTTTTGTGTATGTGTGTCTTGTGTGTGTGCTTGCATCCACACGGAGCATGCACATACCTTCTGTGCTCTATGTGTTTGTGCGTACGAGCATGCTTATTTTTTGTGCCTAATGTGTATTGTGTGTGTGCGCACGCTAAATTTGTGTTTGCTTATTGTGCATGTGCATGTGCCATTAGTTTTTGTATCTAATTATTTTTTCATTAATGCTTTAAAATGGAAAATTTTAAATATGTACAGAAAAGTTTAATGAACGTTTGAATATACTGTTTAGAAGGCTTCACGTTACTTTTTGCCAGGAAAAAATTTTGTGGTGGAAACTTTGCCTTTGTGTTATTTCTTCTTCTCACTCAAACTCTTACTGTTATTCAGAAATCTTATGTATGCTGTAATTTTTTGCTTAATTTTGGTTTGAGCACCATACTCATTTAATGGGCTGGAGCAATAGCACAGCGGGTAGGGCGTCTACCTTGCATGCAGCCAAGCTGGCTGAGCCGGGTTCGATCACTCCACCTCCTCCACCCCTCTCAGAGAGCCCCGCAAGCTACCGAGAGTATCTTGCCCTCACGGCAAAGCCTGGCAAGCTACCCGTGACGTATTCGATATGCCAAACACAGTAACAAGCCTCACAATGGAAATGTTATTGGGCCCGCTTGAGCAAATCGATGAACAATGGGAGGACAGTGCTACAGTGCTCCTCATTTAATATTCAGGTCCCTCCTGTCATAAAGCTCTCTGGCTGATCCTGGAGGTGCTCAGGGAGCTATGTGGTGCTGGGGGTGGAACCCAGGCCTCTTGCATACAAAACATACTCCAGCTCATCAAGGTATCTCCTCAGCTCTGTATTACAACCTTTTGTCCAGGGATCTTATCTGAAATTGTGTTCTGTAAAATCTGTTTTCATTTCATGAGTATTCAGAGTACCTTAAATTATTTTTTCCTTAAATTCTTATTAGTGAAACACCATGAGGTACAGTTATAGACTTACAAATTTTTGTGCTTGGGTTTCAGTTATACAGTGATTGAGTACCCATCCCTCCACCAGTGCCCATTCTCCACCGCCACTGATACTAGTATCCCTCCCTCCCCCCATTCCCCCAGCCTCTGTGGCAGGGCATTCCCTTTTGTTCTCCCGCTCCTTTTGGGTGCTGTGGTTTGCGAAAGAGGCTTTGAGTGGCAGTCATATTCGGTCTGTAATCTACTTTCAGCATGTATCTCCCATCCTGGGAGGATCCTCCCAACACCCTTTATTTGGTGTTCCCTTCTCTATCTGAGCTGCCTTTTCCCCTAGCATGTGCGGCTGGCTTCTAAGCCATGGAGTAAACCTCCTGGTACTTACTTCGGCTGTTCTTGGGTGTTAGTCTACTATTTTGTTACTTATGTTCCCCAGATGAATGCAGTCTTTCTATGTCTGTCCCTCTCTTTCTGACTCATTTTACTTAGCATGATACTTTCCAGGTAGTACCATTTGTATGTAAATTTCATGACTTCATCTTTTCTAACAGCTACATAGTACTCCATTGTGAAGATGTACCGAAGTTTCTTTAACCAGCCATCTGTTCTAGGGCTCTCAGGTTTTTTCCAGATTCTGGCTATTGTAAACAGTGCTGCAATGAACAATCAAGTGCAGATGTCACTTCGACTATACTTTTCTGCATCTCTGGGACATATTCCCAGGAGTGGTATTGCTGGGTCAAATGGGAGGCTCAATTTCTGATTTTTTGAGAATCATCCATAACACAGGTTGCTTTTGTTCTTTTGAATGTGAGCCAGTCTCTGTGGTGTGAGATGATATCTCATTGTTGTTTTGATCTGCATCTCCCTGATGATTTATGATGTAGAGCATTTTCTCATGTGCCTTTTAGCCATTCGGATTTCTTCTTTGAGAAAGTTTCTGTTCATTTCGTCACCCCATTTTTTGATGGGGTTGGATGTTTTCTTTTTGTGGAGTTCAACCTGTACTTTGTATATTCTTGATATCAACCCCTTGTTGGATGTGTATTGGGCAAATATCCTTTCCCATTCTGTAGACTGTCTTTGTATTTTGGTAACTGTTTCTTTTGAGGTGCAGAAGCTTCTTAGTTTAAGATAGTCTCATTTGTCTATCTCTGTTTTCACTTGCTTGGACAGAGGTGTGATATCTTTGAAGATACGGTTACCTTCAGTGTCATGGAGGGTTTTGCCAACTTTGTCTTCAATGTACCTTATGGATTCCAGTCTAATGTTGAGGTCTTTAATCCATTTTGATCTTATTTTTGTGCATGGTTTTAGGCAGAGATCTAAGCCCATTTTTTTGCATGTAGCTGTCCAGTTTTGCCAGCACAATTTGTTAAAGAGGCTTTCCTTGCTCTACTTCACATTTCTTGTTCCCTTATCAAAGATTAGATGATCATATGTTTGGGGGGAGATGTCAGTATATTCAAGCCTGTTCCATTGGTCTGCAGCTCTGCTTTTGTTCCAGTACCATTCTATTTTAATTATTACTGCTTTATAGTAGAGTTTGAGGTTCGGGAGGTTGATTCCTCCCATTTTCTTTTTCCCAAGAATTGCTTTAGCTATTTGTGGGGCCTTTTGTTCCATATGAATTTCAGGAGTGTTTGCTTAGTACCTTAAAATTTTTAATCATCTGCTCCAGCAAATCGATGAACAGCAGGACAGTGCTACAGTGCTACTTTAATCTAGCAAGTTGCAATGGTATTAACATAAATTTCTGATTGTGTACTTAATATTATCCTCTTGTAGCAGCCTGAGACGGTGTCAGTTCAGTCTTCAGTATTGGGGAAGGGAGTGAAACATCGACCTCCACCAATCAAGCTACCCTCAAGCTCAGGAAATAGTTCTACAGGTAAAATTTTTTTTATTTTTTCTAGTGTGAGAAACATATGATATGTTTACAAAGTTTTATTCATGTATTTTCATACTTCACAGAGTTTTTAATTGTAAGTCTTTGAAATAACTTACATTTTTTTTCCAGGTAACTATTTTACACCACAACAGGTCAGCAGCTTTCTTAAATCTCCAACTCCTCCTCCTGCTTCTAAGCCACCAAGTCTTTCTCGGAAGTCCTCTGTGGATCTCAGTCAAGTTAACATGCTCTCTCCAGCTGCCTTGTCACCTGCCAGTTCATCACAAAGTGAGTGATAACTTAAATTTTTCACTAACTCTTCATAAAACTTTACATTAGTGTTTCTTATGGCAGCGTTGTTTGTTGTTCTTGGTTTTGTTTTTGTTTTTTTGACCAGTGGAATAGTGAAATCTGAATGTACTGTGTACCCAAAATATATAATTTGGAGAAGATGCAGGCAAATCTCTTGTTGATTGTATGTATTATGTGTTTATTGTAATTGTATTTGTTTTTCTGTATGTATGTATGCACTTTGTATATACCTTTTTATTTATAGACTTGCAACCTACACATCTCCTAGAAAAATTAATCTCATAGTTGTGGCAATAAGATTCCAAAATATTTTTTATTTCCGTGTACCCTAGGATCATTTTACATTTTATGTAAACTATATAGAAATATATCTATATATATTTATATAATAAGTCCTAAGAGTTTTGCTGCAGTCCGGTCTTTGCATGTATAAGTAGCCAACCACTTTCCAAGATGGTGATACAATAAACTGAAAATTGATTTTCCAAAAACACTCCTACACTCTTATAGGTTATTGTCAGTTTACTAAACTGTGGTGACAATCATGCATTCTACAGATATTAAAAATGTAATTTTTGTTAGTGAATACTTTTTTTTTTAACATCAAATAGACTTGTACAAAAATTCTAGCATTTAGTTTGGGAGAATTTAAAGTAGTAAATATGAGATAGTAACCAGTTTACCAAAAAAAAAAAAAAAAAGCATTCCAGTTTTTTAGATTTTTTTTTAGAGATATCTAATGTGTGCTGAAAGTTTTAGTACACTGCACAGTGATAGGGTGGTCTTTGCATTAGAGATAAACATCTTCATCTTGATAGCTCAAAAGGTGTAATTTTTCTGCCTTCTTGTTTTGCACAAAGAAAAATTTATAAATTTCCTGAAAGTCTTATTCTCACTTCTTATGTTGTGGGTATGGATTATGTTAATCTACTGCACACAATTGTTACTTTAAGTTAAAGGGTTGAGTAACAGCTTCTGGACATTCACATTTCTTTCCTTTCTTTCTGCAGGACATGAAAGCTAAAAAAGAAAACACCTCAAGAGCTTTTGGTTTTATTTTTTTGGTTTTTGTTTTTTGTTTTTGTTTTTTTTTTTAAAGTTGATAAACTGTGCATATTTCATTCACAACAGATTTTCTATACATTCTACATTAAAACAGAAGTACACAGTTACTGTTAAAGATGCAGTATTATCTATTAAATATTTTCTTAATTACTGTGTTTTGTAAACTTGTTTGTCAGGATACACTTGATGTGTTAGGAATTAAACATGTATATTTAGGTGCCAAATATAATTGTTAACCATATGTAATTTATTAAATATGTTCAGAATTTATCTCATTCCGTTACAGAAAATAAGCAATATTTTTAAATGAAGTCCTAAATTAGTGAATAGTAATTAACAAGAAGTAATTTGAATTCTTTTTAAACTTTTTAGGCCAAAGGTAGCATGTGAGGAACTAACTTAAATGGGTATTGTGGTAGAATACAAATGTCTCTTTTTACTGTTACTGTAATAGCATCTTTGATGGGATTTTTAGGTGATATACTGCATCCTTAATTGTAATTGAGTGTAGCAACACTCATGTATCATGTGTAGAAATTAACACTTGCAGTTAACTGCTTCTTAAAAACTAGGACAACTTGTCAGTGCTAAGTAAGATTCCATTAACCTTATTTTAAAAGGACTGGCCATTTATAACAAACTAGCAATTTTTATTTTTCTCAATGAGCAGGATCTGGAACTCCTAAGCCATCTACTCCTACACCAACCCCTTCATCGATCCCACACCCTCCTGATGCTCAGAGCTCAACTCCTATTACCCCTTCAACCACCCCTACTCCCCAAGATTCAGGCTTCACCCCTCAGCCCACTTTGTTAACTCAGTTTGCTCAGCAGCAAAGGTCTCTGAGCCAGGCAATGCCTGTAACAACCATTCCTCTTTCCACCATGGTAACATCTATAACTACAGGAACCACGGCCACCCAGGTCATGGCAAACTCTGCTGGACTTAACTTCATCAATGTAGTGGGCTCTGTTTGGTAAGTTTGTGTTGCTACCCTGATCTTTATTTTATGCTTTTAACCAATTTGATTAAAGCTTTATTTGAAGATAACAATGAATTGCCCAGCAGAGCAGCTTGAAATAATGTAATTTAGATAAGGATAAAATTAACTGACAAGTATATTTTAATGTTAGGTAATATTATCCATAACGTGCACTAAGATGTTTCTGCTGTAACACATTTATAACAGCATAGATTTTCCTGTTTATCCTTTCATCGTTGTTGAAGCACTTGATTTAGTGCTTTGTAGATCCTTATTTTGAACCTTGATAAATGTACACGACTTAATTTTAGCTAAGTTTGCCATCATTTTCTAGCATAAGGATAAAACTGATCCTTAAATTGAAATTTAACATACAAATAATACCTGCTTGTGATGTTTTAATGGTTTTTTGACACAAATCATACGTGACTGATTTTCCCCCCTTGGATGTACTGCAAGTTTTAATACTTGATCTTGTTTTCTTACAGTGGAGCTCAGGCTTTGATGAGTGGTTCAAATCCTATGTTGGGCTGTAACACTGGTGCCATAACTCCTGCAGGAATAAACTTGAGTGGCCTTCTACCCTCAGGAGGCCTGCTACCAAATGCATTGCCTAATGCAATGCAAGCAGCTTCTCAAGCAGGTCAGAATATTGGAAATAATAACCTGTGAAAAATTTAAAGTAAATGCTGAAGAAAAATGCCATTTTGATGGTTCTGAGACTTCTAATGTCCTTATTTCAGAAGGGGTTGCGTCACAAATAGTTAATTTCAAAACCTTTATAAAAGTTCTGATACTTTCATTCAAACCATCTAGCACACAACTTATGTCAAGAAACTGGTAAGCAAGAACATAGCTTTCCACAACTTAAATTTTCCATTTAAACATGATAGATTTAACCTTGATGAAAGTCTTTCTGTTACTATAGTTCTTCTACTTGAGATGAAAACATACTGTGTGTAGAAAGGGTAACATAATAATTCGAGGTGAAAACATACTGTATGCAGAAAAGGTAACATAATAAAGTAAAGTAAAAGTAAAGGCCCTCCCGTTGATCGTCGATTTGCTCGAGCGGGCCCAGTAACGTCTCCATTGGAGACTTTGTTGTTACTGTGTTTGGCATATCGAATACTCTCGGTAGCTTGCCGGGCTCTCCGAGAGGGGCGGAGGAATCGAACTCGCGTTGGCCATGTTGGCCGCGTGTAAGGCGAACGCCCTACCCGCTGTGCTATTGCTCCAGCCATAATAAGGCATCTAAAAGATTCTAAAGCTGGACTGTCTTTAGTTTGAATTAGATTTGAGCAACTGTAATCATGGGACAATTTCTTTGCCTCACTTTCCTCATTATTAGAATCATAGTAAAAATACCTCAGTTGTGAGGTTTGATGTAGGTGAAATGCTTAAATCGTACTCTGAGATTTGATAAACATTAAAAATATTGTGGCACTGGTGTTAACATAGTGGCAGTTTTAGTTATATATAGTATTAGGCTGGAGCAATAGCACAGCAAGTAGGGCGTTTGTCTTGCACGAGGCCTACCCAGCCAACCTAGGTTCGATTTCTCCGCCCCTCTCAGAGAGCCCGGCAAGTTACCGAGAGTATCTCGCCCGCACAGCAAAGCCTGGCAAGCTGCCCGTGATGTATTCGATATGCCAAACACAGTAACAAGTCTCACAGTGGAGAAGTTACTGGGCCCGCTAGAGCAAATCATTGAACAATGGGAGGACAGTGACAGTGATAGTATTAGTTATTCCATGCACAGAGAAATGTAACATGATATTGTAAAAATCTAACCAGCAATATTTTGGAGTAGCCCAACTCTGAAGAAATATATACTGCAAAAATAAACTTGATACAATAAAACCAGAGATTGGAGTGGTAGTATACTGGGCAGAATGCTTGCCTTGCACATGGCCGTCCCAGGTTCAAACCTCGGCATCCCATAAGGTTCCCCGAGCACTGCCCAGAGTAATTGCTCCATACAGAGCCAGAAGTAACCCTTGAGCCTTGCCAGGTGTGACTCAGAAACCCAGTTTAAAGAAAAAAAAAACAGTAATACAAATAATTAAAAGTGAGTTTTAAGAAAGAAAACAATGTCATTTAAATATAGTAACAATGATGTGATTTACTAATTCTTAGCTCTCCCTTGTTAATCATGTTCTAATGGAAGAGGTTCTTGGTAATACTATCCAAGTGTAGAATTTAGGATATTACCAGTTACATGTGGTTCTAGCTGGTAGCTGGCACGAGAAAGAAATCACTCGAACTGTTTCATATATGTTGAAATGGGAATGCAAATATCAGCCTTCAGTTGATATTTATAAAAAATTGATGAAGTGAAATGAAAGAGCCTTTGACTAACTAGCATCTGCCTGTAAAATGAGTCATGGCATTTCATGAGTAAGTTTCCCTGAAATGGACTACAGTATTGTAATATTTTAGTTTGATTATATATGCTTTTTTAAGTTTCTTATAAAGGCTGTGATAATACCTGTTTCCTGCTTCACCTCTCCCCCCCCCCCCCACGCCCCCCCATGTAAAATCTGTTTGGAGGCTTTTTCCACTCTGGAGAAGCCTGTGTTCTCTCATGAATGCTTGTCTCTCTTTCTCTCCCTTCACACCTCTCCCAGTACCTTTCAATAAAATCGATTTTTATTTATTAAAAAAAAATAACACTTGACTAGAGAATCAGAGAAATTTTAATTGACATTTAATTGGTATTCCACTAAGATATTTAGTGAAAATATACATATTTTGAAAGGTCAGGGAGCTGCAGCCAAAACCAGGAATGTTTTTATATTTAAAACAAAGATAAAGAGGAATCAAGTACTGTATGTGTACCAAGAGCCAACTGGAGAAAAAAATAATTGTGTTACCTTTAGCTTAAACTATGTGCTCTTTGTTACATTACAAATTCAGGGTGATGAGTTCTGAGTTTAACTGCAATTTTTTTCTCAGTTTCAATTCTTAAATGTGCAATTGAATGTTTTAGCATAACTGATAACAAACAACTTTAAAAAAACAGCATACTGGTTCTCAGAGGGTGCCAATTATTGTCACAATAAGTTTGTTATATTCACAGAGCTTGCATGCTCTTTTACATTACTTTTTTTCAGTCAGCGATAAAACTGGTGATAATTCTGTATAAATATAGAATGGAATGCTTACCTTAATACTGTCCTTGATTAAAGATTCAGTATTAAAATTAATGAAAATAATTGTAGACATTTTGGAAGTAGAAAATTAACACATCTCTGCAGAACACTCAGTTTTGATTCCTTGTAATAACCATAAGTTTTATTGAATAGGTGTTCCATTTGGTCTAAAAAATACTTCAAGTCTCAGGCCCTTAAATCTACTGCAGGTAAGCCTGAAACATTGCTTTTGATTATCAGTGTTTGTTTTTTAACTGGTATATTTGCATTTGAGATTTTGAGACCTGTTGAGAATCTTCTAAGATATGATTATGTGAGTGCTACCTTTATATGGGCTGGAGCAATAGCACAGTGGGTAGGGCATTTGCCTTGCAGGAGGCCCACGCGACCAACCAGAGTTCGATTCCTCTGCCCCTCTTGGAGAGCCTAGCAAGCTACCGAGAGTATCTCGCCAGCACGGCAAAGCCTGGCAAGCTACCGGTGACGTATTCGATATGTCAAACACATTAACAACAAGTCTCACATAGGAGACGTTAACTGGGCCTGCTTGAGCAAATCGATGAGCAGTGGGAGGACAGTGCTACATGCTACCTTTATATATTTAAGGGGAAAGAATGCTAGTCTACTTAATGAACTTTTCATTATCTCCAGCACTCTACTTAAGAACTAGCTATTCCGTTGAGGAAAATTGACAATTTCTAATCAGAACATTTTCTTCTGATAGAAGCAGTAGAAAGAATATCATTCCTCTGTCAGTTGAAGTTTTCTTTTTACATTAATGTATTATTTTTGTACATACAGATTGTCAGCTTGAGTAGATATTTTTCAGTGGGCATATGGGGCTGGAATGATCATACAGTGGGTAGGGCGCTGGGCTTGTGTTTGATTCTTGTTACCCCATATTGTCCTTCATGAGTGATCTCTGAGCCAGGAGTAAGCCCTGGGCACAGCTGGGTGTGGTTCTCTGCAGAGAGCTTTTATAAAACAAAAATTAAAAGTTATGAAGATAAAGATCTAGAGACAATGATAGACCTCTGGTTTATCGACAGATAAAGCTTTTCTGCAGTAGGGGCCAGAGCAATAGTATAATGGGTATAGCACTTGCTTTGCACTCAGCCAACCTGGATTTTATCCCCAGCATCCCATATGGTTCCCTGAGCACCACCAGAAGTAATTTCTGAGTGCAGAACCATGAGTAACTCCAGAGCATTGCCAGATGTGACCCAAAACCCATTTTTTTCCTGCTATTAAGGAAAATTAGGAAATTATTAGAGCCAAAACTTTAAACTTGTTATATAAAATGTAAACTGTCAATATTTACCTTTTATGATTGATAATTTATCTGTAATATAGCCCATTCATTGGTTTATTTAACCAACTTCTGCATTTTGTTGTTGAATTTCTCTTCAAGATCACTCTTAGTATTAAGGTATGCATGAGGGACCTGAGCGATAGCACACAAGGTATAGCCCCCAAAAAAAAAAAGGTGTGTAGTAGACGGAAGAGATAGTACAAAGAAGCTTGCCTTGCATATCTTGAAACTGGTTTAGATCTTCAGCACCACATAAGGGGTCCTGATCCCTGCCTGATACATGCCCTCCATATCTCCTGCCCACCACCCCCGATTCCCCTTAGGGTATGAACTAATTTTAATAAGCACGAAGTTACCTTATAAATATATTTCACGTTTATTGCGTGAAGGAGGAGCATTTAACCTATTATATGTCCAAATTTTCCCCTAACAATAAGCCATCCATTGTCCCAGGAAATGGTTCAGCTGGCTGTGGCCATAATATGCTAAGCATGCAAAGCCCAATAATTATATTCCCAGCACTGTCTTTGGTATATGCTGTTTTGTTATTTTGTTGTTTTGGGGGCCACACCCAGCAATGCTCAGGGCTTACTTTTGGCTCTGCACTAAGAAATCACTCAGAGCGTGCTCAGAGGACCTTATGGGATGTCGGGCAATGAAGTCAGGGAAGCTACATGCAAGACATACCCTCCCTGCTGGACTATCTCCTGAGCATTCCCAGCACTATTTGATCATCCAAGCACCATCAAGGTGGTCCTGGTGGTTCCTAGAAGCTCTTGGGAGACCTGCTTCTTAAAACAGTGAATTATCCTGGTTATAGATAATTTGACCCAAGAATAGTTGTTATGCACTTTATTATTTAAACTTAAAGCTTACTTTTAACTCCTACAGAACAAAATGTACCCCCTTCTCCCCCCAAAAAAGCAAAGATAATGTATTGTTACCTAATGGATTTGGAAAACAAAATTGTAATTTTTAATGTGAGACTTTCTGTATGCGTAAACTTTTTAAATTTGAATTTCAGCTTCCAGCAAATGTGTACAAACTATAAACATCAAACAAAGTTTGAGCATTTCTGAATTTTGGAGAAACAGATTTGGGGGCGTGAATTTTCCTAATAGATATCTCTGATTAACACCAGCTTTTTTTCATATTTTTAGTGCTTTAAATACTGTTAAGTTAGATATAATGTAACAAAGATCTAACATATTACATTTTATTATAATACATTGTACTGATGTAAACTTAAATGTATCGATATATGGTTAAATAAAAATAGCTTTATCTAAATTTGAAGGCTAATTGTTAACTTCAGGCAAAGATTCATATTTGAGAATAGTAATATCTTTGGCAGCCCAAGTAATAGTATTTAGAAATTGCTTAGAAGCAAATCTTTATATTTTAATCATTTTCTTGTTTACAAGACTATTAATATTGGTTTCTCACATATAAGCATATATTTAACGGCCAGATCTTTTTTGGTTTGGCTTCTGTTCACGGTTCCTCCTTCCCTTTAAGAAAGCCTGATACATAGTGGAAAATATTTGTAAAAAAGAAATTCAATGTGCAGTCAGCTAATTTTTTAAATTCTTAATAGCTTCCAGGTGGCTCGCTGATTTTTAACACTCTGCAACAACAGCAACAGCAGCTTGCTCAGTTCACACCTCAACAACCTCAGCAACCCACAACTTCTAGCCCTCAACAGCCAGCGGAGCAGGTACCGGTTTCTCTTGTCCCTGTCCTTTGTGCAATAGAGTAACAACATTGTACATTCATTCCAGGTATATTTCAGAACATTTATTTAGTTGGAAATAGCATTTCCCATTTGGTTATTTTTCCTTAATAGTTAATGATAGTGACTGTTGATTATTAAGGACCGTATTCTAATTCTCACATCAGCTGAACAGGTGATACCATTTCTACTTTGCCTTTCCTTTCTGTGAGGGAAGGGGGAGGCAGGGGGCACAGCCTGGCTAATTCCTGGCTCCGCTCTCAGGAATCACTCTTCACGAAACTCGGGAACCAAACAGTCCTATGGAGTAGTGGGGATTGAGCCTGGATCAGTCATAAGGCAAGCGCCATACCCACTGTACTATTGCTCTGGCCCCCTCCATTTCTGTTTTTCATAGTACAAAACAGATTCAAATACATAGCTTTATTTTTTTCTTTATGGCTTTTTGAGTCATACTCGACGATGCTCAGGAGTTATTCCTGGCTCTGTGCTCAAGAATTACTCCTGACAGCGCTCAGGCAGTGCTCAATCCCCATATGGGATGCCAGAGATTGAACCTGGGTCAGGCACGTGCAAAGCAAACATCCTACTCACTGTAGGCCCCCACTCTGGCCCTTCAGATAATAACTTTCTCATTACCATAGCAGTGAGGGGCAGAGCAGAGATTCAAATCCAGATATTTTTTGTTTTGTTTTGTTTTGGGGCCATACCCAGCAATGCTCAGGGGTTACTCCTGACACTGTTGATGAATTATTCCTGGCAGTGTTGGATGGGATGCCCGGGATCAAACCTGGATCTGCTGCATGCAGGGCAAGTGCCCTACACGCTGTACTATCAGTCTGGCCCCCACAAATCCAGGTTTTAACTGTCCGTATAGGCTGTGTGTTCTCCATTAAGAAAGAGATGTCCTGTTATCATGAAGACTGGGTAGTACGAGGTCTAAAAAAAAAAATTAGCAGAATGTATAAGGAGCATTGAACAGGAAACTATGCTTGTTACTTCTGAACCTTTGCTAAACTTTGAAATTATCTGAAGAACTTATAAAAAAACGCTGATTCGTTCCTGCTTGACACCTTCAGAATTTTTCTTAGTTCACAAATACACTGTGCTGTGGCTGGAGGGATAGCATGGCAGGTAGAGCGCTTGCATTGTATGCAGCCAACCCAGGTTTAATTCCTCCATCCCTCTTGAGAGCCCAGCAAGCTACTGAGAGGATTCTGCCTGCATGGCAGAGCCTGGCGAGCTCCCTATGGTGTATTCGATATGCCAAAAACAGTAGCAAGGGGCTGTAGCGATAGCACAGCGGGTAGGATGCTTGCCTTGCATGCGGCCCACCTGAGTTCGATTCCCAGCATCCCATATGGTCCCCTGAGCACCGCCAGGGGTAATTCCTGAGTGCAGAGCCAGGAGTAACCCCTGTGCATCGCCAGGTGTGACCCAAAAAGCAAAAAAAAGAAAAAGAAAAAGAAAAAAAAAACAGTAACAAGAAGTCTCACAATGGAGATGTGACTGGTGCCCGCTGGAGCAAATCTGTGAACAAGAAGACAGTGCTACAGACAGTGTACAAATATAAAATGTTCCCCATAAGTGCATCTTGCAAAATTGTTTCAATCAAGTACTGGCTGGAGAAAGTTTAGTTTGAAAGTTAGTAAATGTGATTGACTTTTTAATGTCATCTTGTGTTACTGAATTTGTAGTTCTTAGAATTTTTGTAATTGGGATTTTAATAGAGAGCCTTGGAGTTTGCAAATAAGGTGGTGTTTTCATTTTTTACACTCTGCATTTTTCTTTCGGGATTGGGGGAAGCACTATAGGTCACACCTACTGGTGCTCAGAAGCTTTTCTTGGCTTTGCGGTCAGCAGTGATCCCTGCAGTCCTAAAGGGATTATTCGTATTGCTGGGAGTTTGAACAGGGTCATCAGAATACAAGCTGACTCCTTAATCCCCAGAACTATCTCTCCAGCTCCTGTATGCCTTTTTTCTTGACCTATTTCTCACTAAAGATTTTTGCTATATTGCAAAATGATTTAAAGCTTTAAAAAAAAAAAATACCCAGGGGCCAGAGTAGTAGTACATTAGGTAGGGCATTTGCCGTGCACACGGCTGATCCTGGTTCAATCCCTGGCATCCCAAGCACCACCAGGAGTAATTCCTGAGTGCAGAGCCAGGAGTAACCCCTGAGAATCGCTAAGTGTGACCTAAGAGCAAAAAAGGAAAAAAACACCCATAGATCTGGTGAAGCCTTACGGGAAACAGTAATTATACATCATAAAAACTACATAAATTGGGGGAAATAAATTATGATGATTCTAATTGCTATTGAAGTTTTTTTCTTATGGTTCTCTTTATAAGATTTAGTATAATTTTTTTCTGATTAAAAAAATACTAACTTTTCGGTCATTTGCTTTTCCTTTTGCAAGTCATTGTATTTTTTTCATTTAGGTGTCTGAACAAGGTTCAACAAGTCAAGAACAGGCCTTATCTGCTCAGCATGCTGCTGTTATTAATCTTGCTGGAGTAGGAAACTTCATGCAGTCACAGGCAGCTGGTGAGTATTTCCATAACTAAGTAAGTTTGCTCTGAGTAGCTAATTGGTGTGATATCTATTATGTCTATTTTGCAAAGAGTAATTAGGAACGCAGTTATATTTAATATGCCCACTGCTTAGTGAATTTTATTCATTTACAATAGTCAATTTAAAATGCTTTGGTTTCCGTACATTAACAGCTATTTTCTCCTGATGTTATGATTTGTTGGCAAAATTTTCTATTTTCTTCCCCCTTATACTTGAAGGGAAACTATAAAACCAGTAAACTTTGCTGGAATAAACATTTTCTAAATTACATAATCTTTGTCTCATTCTGATAACTTGTAATGATTTAGATCGTAGTTGTCAATAGTATTAACTTCTATGAGTTACTTTTATAATTAGTAGAAAATGAAATGACTGAATGATTGTGCTGCACTTGAAACAGTTTAAGTGGTAAACCAAAGGCTTACCTTTAATAAATATTATCTTACCAGTTGATAACTTTACATTTAACTACAATCAATAATCAAATGTTCAGGATTGTGGTATAGCAAGCATGTCAACGTTTTGCTTTGTCAATCACTGTGGGCTGTTCACTCAGTGTCTGAATTTAGAAGTCTTTTAAGCTTTTACATAAACTGGTATTTAGAGCTAGTAAATTTCCAAATGTACAAATTATGTATTTTCAAAATTTACCTATTGCTAGACCTGCTACTTTTGAGTGAATCAAAAAACATTTAGACAGAACTTTTCTCATCTGAGGGTGACCCAATAGCTTAAAGGAACAATGTGGTCTCAGTTCACCTGTGTTGTTAGTGGCCTGATACTAACTGTAACTCAATTTTTATGTACCAGTTCTGTGCTTTAGAGTATTTGCTTTCTCCCCTGCCTCTACTTAACTAGTCACACTGTAACATGATGTGCTGTATCTGACATTGTGTGAGAAAGCCTTCAGAACAGAACGGAACCTGTTATCAGTAAGCATCCATAGGCGAGAAAGGAAGGCTAAAGGGCTCTTGGAAAAGGCTCATTGCTCCCTTCCCTTTCATGTCCAGAAGTTCTATAACCAGTGGTACCTTGACTAACTGGAGACTATACTAAATTGACTCCCAAACTGTCTGGATTTTGATACTTAGATTAATCATACTGATAACTTTTCTATTATTTCATTTTCTGTGTTGTCCTTTTCTAACCTGTCAGCCTTCAAACCTTTTGACTGGCCTGCTTTCCCCTTCTCCTCTCTGTAGTGTTGTCTCAGCTTGGCTCTGCCGAGAACAGACCTGAGCAAAGCCTTCCTCAGCAGAGATTCCAGCTCTCCTCTGCCTTTCAACAGCAGCAGCAACAGATACAAGTAATCCAGCAACTTCACTCTGATTACAGTTGAAAAATACTCTGCTCCAAAAGTACCTCAAAATATATTCTATTTTAGTGTTACTTTACTGACTACAGTAAATGGTAAATGATTTAGCAAGTTTAACGTAAAAGTGACATGTTCACCAATTTGGAGCACTGAATATATTTTGTACACCTAAGCCATATTCTTTCTCTAAATACCATCTTTCATGAAGTGCTGGTGGCACATTAACATACATTTAGTTTCTAGTCGATTTTGCAAGAGAGACAGTTGCAAATGCCAATGGCTAAATATTTCAATAATGTACTAGAGAAAAGGCCAAGACAAACTAGTGTACCTGTTAGCAAATGTCCTTATGTTAGAAGAATGTTACAGCATATTACGAAGTATATTTATAGTCTTTCTGCAAGGTAGTTTTATATTGCAATGAATCCTTCTACAACAAATGGTCACCGAAGTTGCTGAGTTTACTGCAGTATGGACTGGCAGGCCAAATAAAGTCTTGAGGTTGTTCACCCAAGAACCATTTTTAAAGCCCGCAGAAGGCTTCTGTGCCACTGGTGCTGTGTGACTGTGCGTTGTCTCAGTGTTAAAGTCCCTTTTGTTACCTCGGTACTTTCTCCCTTTCAGTTTTGTTTGCGTCACTTCAGGAAAAGCACCTTTCTGGAAGCTGCCTACACGGAACTGAACTTGTCCTCCCTCCCTCTTTCAGCAGTTGCGATTCTTGCAGCATCAAATGGCTATGGCGGCGGCAGCGGCACAAACAGCTCAGCTTCATCGTCACCAGCATACGGGCAGCCAGTCAAAAAGTAAAATGAAGAGAAGCACACCGACCACTCCAAAATTCTGAGTCTTGTATTTTTTCCTTTTTTAAATGCATACACGCATCGGATCAAAAGAGTTTGAGTTCCTATTTCGTTTTTGTTGTTTTTTAACGTGTCAGTATTTTGCATTGCTAGGTGTATAGACTTTATACAGAGGCACAACCCTATGATTTTTAAAAATGGGAAAGATTTAGCAAGCACTAGGGTTGGTTTGCTTAAGTCATTGCTTTATAAAAATGTTTCGCTGTACATAACACATGGAAGTGAAATACTAGAAACATCTTTCAAAAGAATGTAGTTTGATATTTATTTAGTATAAAAGGTTTGTGCACAGTGTAACAAATACAGTTTTTACAAATTTGTTTTGAAAACGTTTATTCATTTGACTTTAATACTCTTAGTTACTTCATCCATCAGTTTTTTTACTTCTTTGTGTCTTGTAACTGCTCTGCTCATACAGTCCTGAAGTTTAGCTCCGGTCAGCCCACTGCCACCTGAAATTTTTTGCAACACTTTTAATATTACAATTATTTTACCATGTGAAAGCAACATCATGTTAAATTAAAAAATAATAGTAACATAAGACCATTGGCACAGTTTTTCCCAGGGATGCTGATGCTTCCTTTGAATTTGAACCATTGATACTAGGGCACAGGGATATAGCTTACTTTGAGAAAAAAAAAAAAGATGAGGTAAATCATAGGAACATCACAGTCCCTGATCCTTCTAATACAAAAAGCTTATACTGAGCTTTTCATTTACATATTTAATTACTGAAATGGAAATAATTTACCTGGTTTATGAAGACAACATAGTTTGCCTTCCTCATCCATTACTACTGTCAAGGTTCCAGTTGCCAGATGTTCTTCCTCTCCAGTGGGATCAACTATGAGCAGAGTGCTGTTTTTTAAAAGCAAGTGTAAATTATGTAACCCATTTACAGAACAAATTTATGCATTTTGATACAGACATTTAAGTTTTATTTACGAATGTTAGATTAAAAAAATAAGAACAGAATTGGCAGGCAGTTTATATATAGCATGTTATCTGAAGACTGGCAGTACGAACACTGACAATAGTCTAACGTAAATCTTTAGTGAAGTAACTGAAAATTAACATTACACAGGGATAAGCAAGTCAAGGAACTTGTAAAAAACAAAATTAATCATCCAAATTTTACAGGGACAAAATGGGCATTTAAAAGTCTTATCTTCCACGTATTTTTATATATTCATATACATTTATATATTATGTTAATATACATTTATATATTAATATCTTCCACATACGTTTTTATACATTTGATTAACTTACTCATCAAATACAGCAAAAGAAGTTGCAATTGGATGAGTTTTAATATTCAAAAAATGTTTCTTCTTTAAATTAACTTCTGCTAAGGCAGTTTCTTCATTTATAGTAACTTCAGGCAACTGTACTACAAAAAGACATAGGTAAAGTAAGTCTGGTGAGTTGTGAAAGAGTATAGCTTTCTCTTCAATCTTAATTCACTCTGCCCTCCAACCTTGTCTATAAGCATTCTTTTAAAAAGGGTAAGGTAAAGGCCCTCCCGTTGATCGTCGATTTGCTCGAGCGGGCCCAGTAACATCTCCATTGGAGACTTTGTTGTTACTGTGTCTGGCATATCGAATACTCTCTAATAATTTAATATTGGTATAATGCACATAAGCATTAATTTTTAAAGACATCTGTCCTGCCTAGAGCCTATGTGAAAAAAAGAAAGTGCCTTAATGATAGGTCAGTCCTGGCCCCACTGGAACAACAACACCCTCCATCCACCTCAACCTGCAGCAGCAGTGGGTGTGGCACAAAAAAACAGCAAGAAGCAAAATTCAAGAAACCAAAAAGATTGTATCTAGCTACTTTTAAGTATTTTCACGCTTTTGTTAAATTACATACCAACAGTAGCATGATAAAGTAGGTCTAGCCGATGGATTAATCTTAGCATGATGGTGGGGCCAGGAGTCAAAGTAATCACTTTAAATACTCAAGTATTACTAAGCTCACTCACTGTATTTTCAAGGAGGTACAGTTACTTCAACAATACCTGTCATCCACAACCCAAAACAGATCAGTGACCTAAGATAATTCTCCTTACTATGAAGCAGTATTTCCAGGCAGGAGAGGTAAGGTACAGGAGGGTGAGATGCTTGCCTTGCACACAGCAGACCCAGGTTAGATCCCTTGCACTATATATGGTGCCCAGAGCACTGCCTGACCACTGCTAGGTTAGGCTCAAGGTTCATAGACTGACCCATTGAAACTACTATTCATGGCGATATCTATGACATTAAAAACATACTACTTTTAGTGACATTCAGTTCTTAAAAAAAATACTTTGATCAGCTTAGGCAACCTCCATCAGTGCTTTCTGGTCTTCTAAACCTAAGGATCTGATTTTACTGAAAACAGCTGACCTAGATCACAGATATAGTATTTAACCACAAAGCCTGGTGTCCTTGAGGAGAATCTAGTCCCCAAATAGAAGGATGTAGTTGAGGCACCACTCTAAATGTCACAGAGAAAAATGAAAGACTACATATGCTGGGGAAGTTGTTTTGTATTATATAAGAAACTAAGAAAAATCACATATTAGAAACTCATCACATACGAGAAACTGCAGAAGAGAACATTCTGACACAAACACTGTAAGGTCACTTACCATTTTTCAAAGCCGCTAACAGAGCAAATGTACAGGCATCTAAAATGTTTCCATCATAGTCGAGGCAAATGAGATCACAGTATAGAACCCATGCAAGCTAAAATACAGTTTAAACACAGAAAATTTAAATCTTCTAATAGGTAGAACATGGTATTCAGTTCATAAACCAGAAGACTGTTGATTAGGTAGGTAACCACTTACATAAAACAGAAAATCAAAACAACAGGCGTGCTTAAAGCTGCCTTTGATTCCCCAGCCGACACGACTCCTCCATTTCCCTCAAGGGAGCTAAATTAGAAGAATGTTCATTCTGTTGTCAACTCAGCAGATGGAGAGAAATTTTTTTTTAAAGAAGTACAGAGTGATGGGATCAAAGGAAATGAGACCAGGGGCATGCATGCCTTGCATGCAGCCAACCCACGTTCAAATCCCTGGCATGTGTATGGTTCCCAAGCACCACCAGGAGTGACGCCTCAGCGTAGAAGGGCATGGCCCCAAAACATTCAAAATTCAATTTTCAGCAGAAGCTCTTATTTGCTTTTTGGGTTACACCCAGTGATGCTCATTGCTTGCTCCTGGCTCTCCACTCAGAATTCACTCCAGGCAGTGTGTGGGCAGCCATATGAGATGCTGGGGATCGACCAAAGCTGGCCAAGTGCAACGTAAGTCCCCTACCAACTGTACTATCTCCAGCCCCACAACAGAAACTTTGATACATAAAATACTATGTTTTACATTGCTAACTAGTGTATAATCAAAACCCTAATTCCAAATCAACCTAATTACAAATATTTAAGCAGACTAGGAATTTAGCGTGTCCTTTAACGTATCAGTGAATCAAAAAATATTGAGAAGATTAAAGAGGCCTGCGCATACAAGATAGCTCCACAGCAGATAAGTCAAAACCAGTTGCTTACAGCTAGATGGATGATAATTTTAATTCTGCTATTCATTCTCCCTACAAAACCACCTTAGAATCATTAAAAGTTCACAGGGGCTGGAGCAATAGCACAGTGGGTAGGGCGTTTGCCTTGCATGCAGCCGACCCAGGTCCGAGTCTCAGCATCCCATAGGGTCCCCTGAGTACCGCCAGGGGTAATTCCTGAGTGCAGAGCCAGGAGTAATCCCTGAGCATCTCCAGGTGTGACCCAAAAAGCACAAAAAAAAAAAAAGTTCACAAAGTCTTTGTTCCTCTTACCTTTCCTGGAGAAATGCATAAGTCCTCTTTCTGAATAATCTGTGAACTTGATTTAATGACAAATAATACAGTAAGCAAAAAAAGTTTCAAATCATAAAATGAATACATATAATGTATGTATTCATTTATGTATACATAGAATGAATACATAAAATGAATTATCAAGCAGATCTTACTTTTCAATGACGTCTGCAACAAACTGGCTAGCAACTTGGGCCTCTTCACCAGGAGGTCCTGATCGAAATCTTGATGAACACAGAGGTGGCAGGTCGACATTAGGCACTGAAAGAAACTGCAGCTATGAACTAAACCACCTGGCTTATGGAGGCATTATAAATATTACTGCAAAAATTACGATACCCATAGGATACAGGTTTTTCCATGTGGAAAGAATTAAAATTCTTTTTGATCTTTCTAAGACTCCCAGGCTGATATGAACTTCTTTTCTCCACACAATAGCAAAAATTAACTAAGGCCTCAATCTTTCTAAATCTACAGCAACTTTCTAGATTTCTTCCAAAATACTTAAGTCAGTAACAGAAGATGGCCCCTCCACTAATAACCAGTTAACATTTTTGCCAGGTGGTGTAGGGGTGGAGGTGTTATGTTGCAGGGAAACACTTGGCAGTGCTCAGTACTACTACTGACACAGTTCTTAGAGGTCCATGCAGTGCCAGGGATCAAACCTGGGGCTCCCTCATGCATTCCAGTCCTTTGGGTCATCTCCCCAGGCAGTTCTGAGTTTTTTAAATGTTGCTTCTTACCATATAGAACACATGTCCAAGACAATCACTGTCATACAAAAGTTTGTAGAAGACACATGAAAATTGGCAGAGCCTCAAAGTCTGTTTTCTTTGTTAGTAATGTATAGACAAGATTGATGAACAGTTTGTGAAGTGCTATTTCATAGATAATCGCTATTTTGTGCTATCTTTTAACTTTTCAGGAATTATGCATCATTCCTATATTTCCGAAATGTTTCCTTCAGCTTCACTATAAAATCAGCATTAGATTAATATTTATAAAATATTACTATAAGTTTATAAAATTAAAATATTAAATTTACGAAATTACAGTATTTGCATTAAAATTACAAAATCATTTCACTTACCAACATAGCCTTTATCAGGGGTATCAGCTGGTGGTGCTGCAAATTCCTACAAAAGCACATAAGTTTCCTGTGAAAAACACTCTTAAATTGTGAAGGTGATTTATTTACCTTCATAAAAAAATAGTCTGCCTACTAGTGTCTTGACTAGCAAACGACCATATGAGCACATACTATGCTTGGGGTGTGCTTTCTGAGTCTGTACATGCATTGGTGCAAATTATCTCTGTAAAGCAAGTAGATGGTAGAACGTAGTTTATAGTGCTCGTCTTCAAAAGTGCCTGGAGTGAATGAGCTTCTGCCCCACCTTCTGTTTCACTCATTCAGTATTCAAGAATCTGAATTTAAACCCCAAGTAATCCTGACACAGGCATATTTAGAAAATGCTTGTATAGTGGTCAACACTAAAAATTCTATAATCACTATCTGGATTCAAATGTTAGACCGCCATTCTTCAACCTTTTCATACTTGTGGATTGACTCCTATACCAAAGTACTAGACCTAGGGCCAGAGCAACAGTACAGCAGGTAGGCGCTTGCCTTACCCATGGCCAACCTGGTTCACTTCCCATCCCAGCACCACACATGGTGGTCCGAGCCTGCCAGGAGTGAATCCTCACTCACTCACTGTCCTCCCGTTGTTCATCGATTTGCTCCACATAACCAAATACCTCAAGGCAGTCAACCGGAGATTTTCAACTTCCACCAGTCAATATCCTCAACAAACTCAATTTATTCATGTGCACAAGTTAGAATACATAACTGGACACAAGGAAATCATCAAAAATCCCAATTGGCTGGTCTGGAGGGCTGGAGCAATAGTACAGCAGGTAAAGCGTTTGCCTTGCATGCAGTCAACCTGTGTTCAATCCCTAGCATCCCATAAGGTTCCCTGAGCACTCCCAGAAAAAACTCTTGAGTTCAGTGCCAGGAGTAAGCCCTGAGCATTGCCGATTGTGGCCCCAACCCTCCCTCCGAGTGCCCCCCCCCAAAAAAAATAAAATCTTAATTTGGGCCAAAGAGATTGTACAACAGATAGGGTGCTTGTGTTGCATGCAGACAACTCAGTTTGATCCCCAGTACCATACATGGGTTCCTGAACAATACCAGGAGTGATCCCAGTGTGGCTCCAAAACCAAATCTCCATTTGCTAAATAATAGCCAAATTGTTTAAAATTTAAAAGTTGCAGATTTTTTAAACATTCATTTTAGTATATCTAACAAATACTAATAAGCTCAGTCATTAAACATAGGTTGCGAAAAAAAGCTCTTGGTAAGACTACAGAAAAAAACACAACTGCTTAGTAGAATTATATGCATAATACATAATATATGCATATATGCTTTGATCTAGTATCTGATGCTAATTTGGTAATTTCAGCTTACCGCTTTAATCCCACAAATTACTGTAGTATTTCCCAACTTCACTAAAGCAGAACCATCTGCAGTACTAATTGAACCTAAAAAAAAAAAGGCAAGATGAAGTACAGTGTTCATTATCTACATGTCATCTTATTGCAGTTCTTTATAAAAAATTTCCCTTCATAAATTTTAAATGGGCCGGAGCCATAGCACAGTGGGTAGGGCATTTGCCCTGTATGTAGCCGACCTGGGTTCGATTCCTCCGCCCCTCTCGGAGAGCCCGGCAAGCTACCAAGAGTATTCCTCTCGCACAGCAAAGCCTGGCAGGCTACCCGTGACCTATTCGATATACCAAACACAGTAACAACAAGTATCACAATGGAGATGTTACTGGTGCCTACTCGGGCAAATCGATGAACAACGGGACGACAGTGCAGTTTTTAAATGACCTAGTTACTGTTTTTAGGAATTAGTCACAGGCTGGAGCAATGGCACAGCATGTGAGTGAAGAGCCAGGAGCATCACGAGGTGTGAACCAAAAAGCCAAAAAAAAAAAAAAAATCAGTCACCTATCTTTAATTGGAATCAGTCACTTTTTCATTATCACAGGACATTGTACAGGTAAAACTGTCTTTAAAAATCAGTGAAGTCCTTTACACATGGTAAAATTTGGCTGAAACCAAGTGGCTCAGAGGTTAAAAAAACTTGGGAATGTTGTACAGATAAGTAAAAGTGGAAATTTTCCAGTTACGTCCAAAAGAACTTAGTACAAATGTCTTGGAGGTTTGTAAAGGAGAAAAACACTATAGTTATGTCAAAAATCAAAGTTTTTTAAAAATCACAAATGAAAATTCCTTACCAGTATTCAAAAGCTAAGTAAGCAATTTCAACATCCGATACTCTAGAATTCAAAATACACTCACCTATGTTGACGGTTGTGGCTCTGAATTCACCAAGTTCCCTCCCATCCGGACGGCAGTTCTCTTTCTACACATGAAAGCAAGCCACATCTACATGTATATTTTGTACACAACACGGAAAGCGCTTAAACCCGTAACTTCAGCAGAATCACTTAAGACTTGTCTGAAAGAAGCACCACCACCTTGTCACCAAAAAAAACAAAAGCAAAACAGCCAACATGACTTACCAGAAATCTCCTGTAGTACTCCAGGGGCTCCACGGTCCTGAAACGGGATCAGTTCGAGAAAAGTGAATCCTTCACATAAATCCAGAGGGGCGTGATCTCAGAAAGGGGATCGTGGTGCTGCCTAAGCCTCCGCGATCCGTGCCGCTCTGTGAATGGACCTCGGCGTTTGTTCGTCACCACCTGGCACTGACCACGGCGGCGCAGCCCTTGCAGCAGGGCTCACAGCCACGCCGGACTTCTCCCGACTCCCGGGGCGACTTCGCGGACTTCGCCACCCCCGGGGTCACCCTGCGAAGCCTGGGCTCGGACTCCTGTGCAACCAGGAGGACGGCGGCGTCTCCATTTGACCCGACCCTCGACGTGAATTCTCATCCCCTCCCAGATCCCGACCACCGGCGAGAACCCGGGGCGCCGCCACCGCGCGCCTCCCCCTCCGCGCGAGGCCGGCTGGCGCCGCGGTCCGTCCGGGCCTCGGCCACCGGGACCCCACTAGCACGGGCCGCAGCTGGCACGAATCGAGGCCGCCGCGAGCCGCTCTGCTCTGTCCTCCCGTTCACGCGTGTCCCCTGAACACGCGGGGCACAGCGGGGAGGGCGCAGGCCCGCACGCGCGGGCGGCCCGGGTCCGATCCCCGCCCACCCCGTGCCCCGCCGGCCGTGCCCCGGAGCCCTGAGGGAAACGGCCCCGACGCTAGAAGCCGACGGACTCCGGGACGACGCGCAGAAAAGGCTCCCCGGGCCCCTGCACGCCGGGGCCCGCGCGGCCGGGGGCTGAGTCCCCTCGCGCCCTCTCCCCTGGGGACACAAGCCCCCGCCCCGCGCGTCGCCACGACCGCTTCGGGTCCCCCTCCCGTCGTCTGCCTCCACGGAGAGAAGGGACGCCCCGCCGGGGTGGCCTCCGAGGGGGCCCCAGAGACCGCCCCCGCCGCCGCGCACCCACGGACGCGCGCGGGCCGCCGCCGGCACTCACTTGAACCCGGCCGCCATCTTCGCGCCCGGCGTCTGCGCCTGCGCCGCGGCCCCGCCGCCCGCCCCGTCCGCGCGCGCCCCGCCCCCCGCACTTTCGACACAGGCGCCCGCGCTGGCCTCCGCGCCCGCCCACCCGTCCTGCGCGCCGGAGGCGACCGCCACGCCTAGCCAGACGCTCCCTGGGGTCTCCTCGACTCCGCGCCGGGTGACGAATCTGCCGCTACGAAATTCACAAGTGCCGGTAGCAGGAGTCGAGTTGAAACTTAGGACCGGGCGTTCAGTGCGGGGCGTTCTCCCAATGTGCCTGCGTCCTTCCCTCGGGTCCGCCGCGTGCTGGGCCCTGGGCTTGCCTCCCCCAGGTAAAGCGCTTCCTTCTCCACGGCCGGAGACTGAAGTCCACTTCTCTGCGCGTTCGTCGAGCCGCGCCGGGTCACCCTTTGCAGGTCCCGAAGCGCCTCCAAAGATCTGCCCTGAGTCGCCTTGAATGCCCCCACCCCTCTCCAGTACCCGATTGCCGAATAAAATGCAGGACGCCCAATTAAATCTCGGTCACAACTAAACAGTGGATTTTTTTTTTAATTACAGTGTGCATGGTATTGTGACCAAGCAAGGTTTGGAGAACGCGGCGAATCTTTTAGAAATAGTGATCATAGTGGCACAGCGTGGATTGAGGCCACTGTATCGTGCATTTAATGTGGGCGGAGTAACCAAATTTTATTTTATCACAGCTTTAAAAAAATACATATGTGTAGACCAAAAACTTTATGATGTGTTGGATAGCCTAGGAGCTCTGTTTCGTAGAGGTCGTTGAAGCTGAGTTGCGTGCCTGGCACTCCAGTTCAGCTGGACGCTCTGGGATTTTGCTCGCTCGGTTCGGCTGTGGAATTCGACGCCCGCGTGAAATCCTGCCACCCCGGGAGAGCCGGTCGCTCGCGTTGGCCGCCGAGTGCTCGCCTCGGCCGCGCGGGGGCGCTGCGGGCGGCGGGCGCCCGGCTCGCCGGCGCGGCCTCTCTGGGCGGGGCGGGGCGGGGCTGCGCGGCGCTTCCGCGTGTGTGGAGCCGCGCCATAGGGCGGGCGGCGGCGGCGGCGCGACATGGAGGATGGCGTCGCTCCTGCTGCAGCTGGCGCTCCTCGGCTCGGCGCTGGCGGCCGCGGCCCTGATACTGGTGAGCGCGGGTGGGGACGGACGCGCGCCTGCTCGCCGCTCCCCTGCAGACCCGGCGGGCTCGGGCACCGCTCCTCGGCCGCCCGCCTCCCTTTCCCGGCCTCGCCCCCGTCTGGAGCCCAGCCCCCTCCCCCCCCCCCCCCGAGTTTGCGCTCGCCGACTCTTTGCCTCTCGGGAGCCCCGCGGAGCGTCGTCGTCCCGCGTGCCCAGAGCCCGGCTTCCCCGTGTGTTCTTGACGGAGCGTCGCACCGGCCTTCCCTCCGCCCTTGGCTGGCCGCGGGTCTCCAGGCCTGGGACCCCCAGCCCTGCCAGCGCCCACCCTCCGAGCCCCAGCCCCGCAGCCCCCCCCCGAACCCGCCCTGCAAGTCCCCACCCTCTGAACCCCGGCTCTGTCAGCCCCCTCCCTCTGAACCCCAATCCTGTCAACCCCCACCCTCCGAGCCCCAGCCCCGCAGCCTCCCACCCTCCGAACCCCAGCCCTGCCAGCCCCCACCCTCCGAACCCCAGTCCTGCCAGCCCCCACCCTCCGAACCCCAGCCCTGCAACCCCCCCACCCTCCGTACCCCAACCCTGCAACCCCCCCACCCTCCGAACCCCAGCCCTGCCAGCCCCCACCCTCCGAACCCCAGCCCTACCAGCCCCCACCCTCCGAACCCCAGCCCTGCCAGACCCCACCTGTTGTAACTTCCTGCAGACTCCGCCGCTGTCATGGCAGCCCTCTCCCCGAAGCCTGGAAGCCCCCCCAAAGTTACTGCTGTCTGGCCTCTCCAGAGTCAAGCGACTCGAAAGTGCTCACAGCACAGGCAGGGACCCTCGGTTCCGCGTCCGAATGAATGAACAGACCCTGCAGACCCCTTCGAGACCGGGGATGACAAGACAGACAAAGCCTGGGGTCACCATATGTCTGCATGACACTGGCCATTTGCTACCCCTGGAAGGAGGCATTCCTGTCCAGGGGCAAATTCAGACGTTGTCTGCCAAGATTTGGGAAAGCCCAGAAACTCCACTGGAAGCTCTTGCCGACCGCAGGTAGCGGGAATTGTTCACAGTGAGTTTTCTCCCACAGAAGAGAAGTCCTTGATACAGCTCACAGGCTCTTGGCGATTGGGGCTTTATTAAGTGATGGCCTCTGGGGCCCTGCGCTCAGACAACAGTTCTCCAGTTCACCTTCATCCCGGATTCTTTTTTTTTCTTATTAGCTTTGAGGGAAGGGCGGTGATCTGCAGGAATGGGCGGTCATTTGGCCCCATCGTGTCATCCGACTAGTAAATAGAAAGTTTCCGCTTCCTTGACTTTCCTTGACTTCAGCAGCCTTAGATAATATTTAATGTCTCTTAGCTCACCTGCCACCCCCCAGGATCCATGAATTTAGAGTCCAGAAGCAGCAGTTCAGATAGGAAAAAAGCTAGTGCATTTGATTTTTTTTTTAAGTTATTGTGTTCTGTAATTTCAGGGTGTTTGGGTTTTTTTTGAGGGGGGAGTAGTTTGGTTTGGGGATTTTTGTTTGTTTTTGAGCAAGTCATGTCTTTGCTGTAGCCTTTTGATTCAGTCTAGATTGAGGCTGTCCAGAAGTTGAATCTTTTGCACAGATTTGAAATGTGTTATACTGGGAGTTTGGCCTGAAAGTGATAGTAAGATCGACCAGCTATGGAGTGCACAGAACGAACTGGGTATTGTTTTAAGTGTTGAGCAGGAATGATCTCATTTGAACTGTAAAAAGACCCAGTGACATAAATGTTACACTCCACTGGGAAAGAATACTCAGAGGTTACACAGCTGGTGGGATTTTTTGGTATTTAGTGCTACGTCGTGAATAATTTTAAAACACACGATTCATCTAGATCAACTCTCCATACATAGTTTATTCCCATCCCTTTATTTTGAAGCACGCCACATTTTATCTGTAAATTCTCAGCATGCATTTATAAGGACCCCATCTTAAAATGGGGTTGTCACTGACTTCGTTTTAATCTCATCATTATCCTCTGATGTCAACTGCCCTCAGTTGTCTCATGTATGTCTTTGATTAGTCATTTTGTTCCGCTCATTGTTCTCTCACGCCACCTGATAAGTTTCAGGTTCTCCTACGCACCGCTTTTCAAAGTAAAATCATTCAATTGATGGAAATTGCTTCTAACTCTTAGGAGAATGTGAAATTCAGAGATGGGGGAAAGGAAGACCAAAAGAAAAGGAGATTTGTTCCCTGAAGAAGAACATGAGCGGGTGCGGAAGCAACATCCTTGCACACAATCCCCTCCCCGCTGGGTTTGATCCCTGACATCTCCGGTGGTCCCCAGAGCCCCACCAGGAGTGATCCCTGAGTGCCGGGCCACGAGTCATCTCGAGCAATGCTGAGTGTGACCAAAGAAACAGAAGGAAAATATAGAAGAAGAATATTGAAACAAATGCCCAAACACCCTGAAATTACACAACAGAACACTTAAAACCACATGCCCAGGGTGGGGTGTCGTGCAGAGGACACCCTGAGTCAGCTGTGGGTGACCCCAGAGCGACGTGTGCCCTTCCTCCTTCCTCCTTTCCCTTGTCCCTAGTGGGCACCTATCCTTTGGAGTGGCTCCCAATCTGCTTCTTGCTGCTTAGCTCCCCTTCTCGCCTTTCGGTGGGGAGGCAGCGTCTCCTTGTTGGTTGTCAGGACCCAAGGCCACTCATCCTGGTGTCACAGGCCTGGCTGATGGGCCCAGAGCTCTGTGCAGCACCTGGTATCCTGGGCCCCAGAGCTGCGCCCTGCGTTCGGGGATCACACCGGCCGGCATCCACTCCAGCCCTTTGTGTGGTCTGCCCCTCTGGTGCTCGAGGGTCTCTTCCTGTGTCCCTTTTCCCCTCATAAACTGGCAGTTATAATGTAGAGACTTGTCAGTCACATATATGCATCTTCTGGTCAAGGAAAACGGTACTGTGTTCAGTGGTTCTACATGCTTTTACATTATAAAACGTCACATCAGTTGTAGAACGTTGACTTTCTCTGGTGTTAAGTTCTGCTGAGATTTCAGGAACTGTGATATGAATCTGACCCACGATCTGTGTCCCTGAGCATCGTGTCATTTCCTTAATGATTCTAGTAGTCACTGGTAATGGTCCTACCGTTAGTAAGATCCTACCATTTCATGAGTAGGTCTATAATGTTCTCTCATGCAAAGTATTCTCATTGCATCACTTCCTCTTTGTATTATCTGGGAATCTCTAATACTTTATTCTAAAATACTTCCCCTTATGTAGTTCCCCTGAAATACCTTTGATTCAAAAAGCGTAGTAAAAGACAAGATTTTAAAATAACGAGATTGTCCCCTAGTGTCTTTCAAAAGTGGCAAATGAAGTTTTTAATCTTAGTTTTTACTGCGTATGCACAGTCTCAGATATTTTTCATGTGTCTCAATCTAATGCACTAATTAATTACTCTTTCTGATGCTCAAATCTTCCCCATCACAGACCAGAGGAAGCCCTGGAGGCCAGGCACTTTGTCCTTGGGTGACCCTTCTGACAGTTGTCCTTGTTTGCCTTGTTTTCTGGTCTGTCCCACCAGTGCATTGTTCTTGCCCCATTCCTGAATGGGGAGATATTCTGTAATGTATACCATGCCTATCCATCATAGGAGCTCTGGTTGCTCTCAGCAGGAAATTGAGCTTAGCAGAGACAGATTGGACAAGAGTCTTACCGAGCAGGCGCTGGGAGAGGCTTGTCTGAATCCAGTTTGTCTGTACACATACTAAACAGGCTCATGTTGATTTCACTCTGCACTAACAGGGTATTGTAAGTGGCCACCACTTGGTCAGATCATTCAAAGCCCTGCAGTTCGTATTTGGCACATGGGAAGTCCAGTTGGATCCCTGCCATCACAGTCCCCTGAGTACTGCAGGGAGTGAGCCCTGAAGCACAGCCCTAGGGGTTACCCTACCCACAGCAGGTATGGCCCCAAGACCAGCATAAGTAAGCACACATAATTACCAAGCATCAAGTTACAAATGCGTAGCTTGTGGAAACAAGTTAGTAGATTCCTCTCGAAGCAGAATGTATACCAGTAGAAACACTTATGACAAGGAAGGGTCCTTTCCTACGCTATCTTCCAAGATAGGAAAAAATAAAATGCTAGTCTGCCACCTGCCTATGAGTTTAATACTTTAGAAAACATTGTGAATGAAAATCCAGGGCAAGTAGGGGAAGAAGCAATAGTGTAGTAGGTAAGGCGCTTTAAGCACCTTGCACACATCCAACCCGGGTTTGATTCCCCACTAGTAGGTAAGGCGCTTTAAGCACCTTGCACACATCCAACCCGGGTTTGATTCCCCACTATTGTGTTTGGTCCTTCAGGCCCATCAGGAGTGACTCTTGAGTGCAGAGCCGGAAGTCCTCCTGGAGCACAGCCAAGTGTGGCCCCAAAACCAAAAAAACCGACAGTTAAATTCAAGGCAGTTACAAAGAATACATGCTTCAGCATCTATGGTCCTTCCTGTGGAAGTTGGCAAATTCTTTCCTTTATAACCGGGATTGGTCTAGTTGGGGCTGAGCTCTGACTTTGCCGCACACATCGCGCCTGCTCTCTGAACTTGCTCTCTTGCCACACCCAGGCCTCAAGGAAGGGTGGGGCCTGGATCTGCACGTGCCAGCGCTCAGAGGCTTGGGACGTCAGGAATCAGTTGCTCTGCTCTGCTGGCTCTCCCTGTTAGGCCCGGGAGCAGCCAGTGCTGGGGAGGGACAGCAGAGAGCACGGAGAGAGCCTTGTGGGGTACTAGAACTTGCTGAGAGAAGAAGGCGTTCGTTAGTTCACGAGGAGGGACTGTCTGGGGTTCAGAGTTACCTCCACACCACTGGGATTGTATGAGCTACTTTAGTAAAACCACCTCAAAGGATGCCTTTCGTGGGCAGGAGAGATAGTACAGGGATTAAGGCATTTGTCTTGCATGTGGTCAATTTGGTTTGATACCCAGCAGAACATGAGCACCGTCAGGTGTGTCCAAAGCACACGCCCACCCCACCCCACTCATGACCACCTCCAAAACTAAAATTAAAGTATTCTAACGTAAGAAATGTAAAACAGGGCTGGAGAGATTATACAGTGGGTTGGATGCTCTTGCACACAGCCAACCTCGCTTTCATCCCCAGCATCCCCAGGGCCCCTCAGCCCACCAGGCATGACAGCTGAGTACAGTGCCAGGAGTAAACCTAGAGTATTGCTAGTTGTGGTCCAAAGACCAAAACAGAACAACAGAAAGAAATCAAAACATGGATCAGCATAGTAATGTCTGCACATGTCTGCTTATAGGTTTCCTTTATTGCGTTTATAACTGCTGGAGAAATGCCCCGCCTTCATCGACATGAACAAGAGAAGTTCTTCTTAAACACCAAAGGCCAGAAGGAAACTTTGCCCAGCATATGGGACTCACCTACCAAACAGCTCTCTGTTATCGTGCCTTCCTACAACGAAGAAAAACGGTGTAAGCCCTATTTGACGTTGGGAGAAAGGGGCAACTTGGGAAGAAAGGGAATGGAAAGTGTTAGACTTCATTGCCGCTGCCAGAACATTAAGGGCTGTGCTGTGATGAGTGCGCAGTTGGTAGCTGTTGTTCAGAAGGGGGAGACAGATACTAGCCCTGAAGGAAAGGCGCGGCATCGTGAAGTGGTAGGCCGGGAGTGTTCCAGGCACTGGTGGGCAGGATGTGCTCAAAGGTGGGAATGGATACTGGGGAAAGTTCCGGAGAGTCTTGTCGAGAGTATTTAGATCAGGGGCCGGAGCAATAATACAGCGGGTAGGGCATTTGTCATGCATACAGCCGGCCCGGGTTCAATCCCCAGCATCCCCATATGGACCCCCAAGCAGCACCAGGAGTAATTCCTAAGTGCAGAGTCAGGAGTAACACCTGAGCATTGCTGAGCGTGAGACCAAAAAGAAAAAAAGAATATTTAGATCACTTTCTTATATAAGTTGAGTGCTAGGATGCTTAAAATCATTTTCAGAAGCAAGTTTTAATATCTTTTTTTTTCCCCCTAAGTGCCTATAATGATGGATGAAGCTCTGGACTACCTAGAGAACAGACAGGTACCACGTTTTCTCCTTCACCCTAATCTCTGCAACTAAAACTGCTCACCCAGTATGGGCCAGGGATGTGGCTCCATTGTTAGGGCATGTGCCTGGCATGTGGTGATCCCTAGCTGTGCATGGATCTCTGAAGACCACCGGAGGTGGCCCCCACAAATGGTCTTCAGAGATCCATGCACTGCCAGGGATCACCACATGCCAGGCACATGCCCTAACAAGACACTAAACCAAGGCACCAACCCAACCCCCTCCCAGCTCACGGGAGATCCCAGCACCCAGTATCACTGCCTCCAAGGGCAATTGCCTGTGACCCCAGAGTGAACCCAAAAGGCTGAGTTCCGTTTTTCTTTTTTTTGTTTTTAATTTATTTTTTAATAGAATTACAGTGAGATGCACAGTTCCAAAGTTGTTCATGATTGGGTTTCAGTCATGCAATGCACCAACACGCATCCTTTCACCAGTGTATATTTCCCAGCACCAGTGGCCCCAGTTTCCTTCCCGCCCACCCCCCACATGCACACCTGCCCTATGGCTGGCTTTCTCTCTCTCTCTCTCTCTCTCTCTCAAATTTTCATTTTTCTTAATGTTCTTCTAATCTGTTTTTATCCTTGCATGCCTCATAATTTTAAATTAAGTGACTGTCTGCAATCTTTATATGCTTGTATACATCATATACTATCATACATGTTTTCAAAAAGTCATTTTTGTGACTTTTTACAAAAGATGTCTGTTTGGGAAAGACATAATAGGGTGATGTTGGTTTTTTCGGATGTGTCCTCTTCTTTCCCTGCATAGTGAGAAAGAATTAGTTATGTTACTCTTTGGGTACCAGTTGCTCTTCAAATTCTCTTGGAGAGTTTGAAAAAATAAAAGTAAATTTTGGGATTGATTTTTTTTTTTCTCCCTTAGAAAATTTCTGTTCTGATTTACTTTGATTTTAGAGTTTGTGGTGTAACGTGGTGGTGGAGGATTCCCAAAAGATGGGAGATGTCTTTGCTACTCAGAAATTAAAGGGGAAGAGAACTGAGACATTATATTCACAGCTGGTACCACTTTCTGTTTCCTCTTTTCTTCACTCATGTGGACCAGGAACATTTGCTCTTTGGGGAGATGTTAACGTGGCCATAAGCTGGGAATAGTGCAGCCAGGTTAGATCCCCAACTTGAGACTTCATGAGCTCTTTTCTTTGGCTCCTTGGGGCTCCTTGGATGTGCTCTGCAACACCAGCTGCTCTACCTGAGGACATGGAACTGGGCAGCCCCCGGGAGAATGTGGGCTTATTTTCAGTTATCTCTACATGCATCAATAATAAAGCAGTTGTTTTGTAAGTTCCTTACAGTTTCACGATAGAATTCTTGGCAGCCGATGGTCCAAATCATAGTACTTTATTTTGGCTTCTTGCAGAAACAAGATCCTGCGTTCACTTATGAAGTGATAGTTGTTGATGATGGTAGCAAAGATGAGACTTCAAAGGTAAGTTGGTCACCTTGTTTTCAGAAATTACCAGCAGTAGGAACTCTAGAATAAATAGCTGGCAGCATATCGAATCTTTTGTCCATTTCCCAGAGAACTCTAAAGCCATGCCCTATCCTTTGCACTGGCTATTGTGAGTAAGAAAAATTAGAGATTTTGTGGATGGGAGAGCTGGAAATGGAGCTGTAGGCCCACCACTCCCTGAGGGTTGCTGGAGCATTCCCTTGACAGCAGAGCCCCCTCCCCTCCAATGCTCACTCTCTGCCAATTCCTGCCTCCTTTTCTCCATCTTCCATTCCAGCTTCTAAAGCAATCATGTCAATAGGAACCATGTCTTCATGTCTGTGCCCTGCGTAGCGAGTGTTGCCTTCAGCACAGAGCCTGTCTAGATTGACCCACTAGAGGTAATGATGTTTGAGAGTGTCAGACTCTCCCTCTTGCATGCCTCGACCTGCCAGGCCCAGCTGTACTAATCTTGTCGTGGTTTGTAAAAATACTACCAGAGGTCTTGTTGAATTCGTTTCCAAGCACCTGCAGGTGTTTAGGTTTAGGAATACTTCACGTTTTCTTCTTTGACATTCATGTGTGCAATCCAAAAAAGTTCAGTGCTGCTCCTAACATTCTTGCTGGTAGACCTTAAATACACAGAGAACTGTCAGTTCACTTGATTATTCATCAGTAATGACTCGTGTTAGTGATGCTTATTAAGTAGCAAGTGTATGCTGAAGGCCAGGTGCTGGTGAACCAAACAAGCACGTGAGCTTGTGCAGGGAGCCTTCGGGTCAGCTAGAGTGTGTGCTGCAGCTCTCAGACTCGAGAAAAGTGGGGCCAGAGGAAAAGCGCTGTGAAGAACTTAGCAGGAACAGGGGGGCGCTGGAGCAATAGAAAAGTGAGTAGGGCCCTTGCCTTGCACGTGGCCGACCTGGGTTCAACCCCCAGCATCCTATGTGGTCCCCCTCCTCTCAATATCAACCGGAGTATTTCCTGAGTGCTGAGCCAGGAGTAACCCTCAACATCACTGAATGGAGCCCAAAAGCTGAGGGAGGGATTAGCATCTGTTCGTTTCTTGAATTTGGAAGTTCTCCTCAATGACATCCTTGAGCCATGAGTTTTGCCACAATCCTTAACTACAACCTAACTGCAACCAATCCCCATCCAGGATTTTTCCTTTCTGTCTGCTTGGAAGAGACCTGCCATTCCCTAGGTTCTCCTGGTCATCGGCCTTCACACTGACACTGGCCCATACCACTGGTGGCTCCTATGACTGTGGCTCGATTGATGCAAATTACTGTAGCACTGTGAGCATGTGAATCGGGGCAGTGCGTGTTGGGCACTTAGCACTTCCCTCAGCCGCATGTCCTTGACTCATCCCCGCTGGATACCAGTGTGCAGGAACAGGCAAGCGCTTCCCTAAGGTGCCAGCAGCTCACAGAGCCCCCATGGCGTGAGGCTTCGCAAACGAGGCTTGGCGCCTCTTGGGAGGTCTCAGCCTCTGTTACCTCTGGCAACAAAGCCTTCCTTGGCCTTAGTGGTGGGGTCAATTGGAGCCCCCCTGGGAAGATTCTAGTCTCATGGAAAGTCCTGAGTCTTTCCCATGCAGCTGGGAATGAGTGAACTAACCCAGATGGTTAGAACAAAAAACCTGGGAGCGAGCACGTCCGGGTGTAGCAGCTGGCGGACTCAAAGGCCTGGTGGCCCGGAAGCACTGGGAGGGCTGGCTTTAGGAGGAGGACGCGCTGGGCTTTGCAGCACGCGTGTGGTAGGAGAGTGCTAACTTCAGTGGCTTGTTACTATGTGAAGGGGGTGGCACGGAAAAGGAACGTTGGGCAGCAGACAGTGGCGCTCACAGGCGCAGCCTCTGCCCAGCAGGGGAGGAACTTTTCCTGAAGGACAGTTCCCGCCCCCACCCCCCTCCGCCCCCAGGCCCTTTGACTTGTGTGTGGAAGTGGCTGTTCTGGATGGATCTGTGAGGGAGAGGAGCATTTGCTCCTGAGGCGGAAAGAAACAAATCTTAAAATGGTATTTAGTAGGCACTTTTTATTTAAAAAACAAAAACAGTTTCCTCTTAGTTGAGTATTTATTGTCTGCCTGTCTTGCTCTGCCCAAAAAAGAAATCTTAGCTATAATTGTCATGAGGAGTTCTGAACTAAAGAGATCAAGACTTGTGTGCAGAATCCTGCACTGGAGAGGTAGCACAGCGGGTGGGGCATATGCCTTGCATGTGACTGACCCAGGTTTGATTTCTGGCATCCCCTAAGGACCCCCAGCCCAGCAGGATAAATTCCTGAGTGCAGAGCTAGGAGTAACCTCTGAGCATCACTGGATGTGACCCAAAAACAAGTTTAAGAAAAAAGAAACCTGTATGCAAAATGCAGTGAAGGAAAGTATTCCTGGGCCTGGCAGTGATAGTACAGCAGGTGGGGGCTTGTCTTGCACGTGACCGACACTGGTTCATCCTTGGCACTACAGATGGTCCCTGCGCCCTCTGGGAGTCATCCTTGAGTGCAAACATCAGGAGTAACCCCTAAACACTGGGTGCGGCCCAAATTTGTTTTTAAGATAAAGGAATATATTTAGTTACAAGACACCAGAGAACTAAGCACTCATGAATCTCTGTTCCTAAGTAATGAGCTTGTGATGGTCAAGCTGGGAGGAAGCTAGAAAGTTTCCCTGTGGTCACGCAGGTGGAGCGCAACGGGGTCTGTTCCTTCAGAGCCAGACGGAAGGAGCCACTTTATTTAGTCAATAAAGTTTCCTTGAACTCATTCAACTACTTGGCCAGTGGCTTTAGCATCCGAGTTCTGGAGTTTTGTGATGGATGTTCAATTTCATGCCATTCAAGAACAAGCATCTGCAAGTCAGATGTTCTCCCAGTAGAGCTGTCTGAGCTGTTCCCATGGGTGGTAGACCTCGCCTGCTGGTGGTACTGAAATGCAGCGCCAGGCTCCTCTCTGCTGCAGGGAGGTTGCACCCGCTACTGGAAGCGCGCATGGGCAGAGCACAGGGTTTGAAGTCAGCGGGAGGCAGCTGGTGGGAGGAGAGGAGCTAAAGGGCCCTGGCTGTCTCGGACACTCCTTCAGCGACCCCAGAGCCCAGGATGTCTAGGCGTTGTGTCGGGAGTTGGCTCAGCGTTGGGCAATCACCTTTCTGCAGCCACATGTTTATCGTTTGGGTACCTTCCCTCCTTCATCCCTGAGTGCCCAGGCCCGCCCACATTACGTGTCCTGAAGCCCTGCATGACAACCAGGATATTAAGAATTATTTTGTCGGCCCTCTCCTTTTTGACTGAGGGTGGATGTCATTACCAGGACTTCACGTTCTCCCACAAACCTGCCTTAGCGTTTTCGAGCCAGGAGCTCGGTCGCATGACCTGCAAAGAGGTCTGGAAAAGTGCTGGCTAAAAGGATTTAGATCAATTCTGATTCAGCTATGAGGACTGCACTCATAGTTGCTAATTCAAGTTTAGGGCCATAAGAGGGAGGAAGGAGGCGTTTGCTGAGTACGCCGCTAATTTGTCTTTTTGTTTGTTTGTTCCATACCTAATGTTCAGGGCTTATTCGCTGCGTGCTTGGGGCAGGCGTGGGAGGCCAAAGGGTTCCAGGGATCAAACTGGGTTGGCGTCGTGCAAGGCTAGCGTCTTACCTGCTGTACTGTCTCTTTGGTCCTCATCACAGTGCTTTGGTAGAAATGTGTACAAAAGACTTGACTGCAGTTGTTGACTATGATTTAGCACTAGAAACAGGACTCTGCCTCTATGACTCACTGCCTTGTGGGAAAGAACTGCAGTTACATTATGGGACAAGTGACAGGACAGTTGAACAGGAAAATGCCTTGGGAGCACTTGATGTCCAATGGTTCTTTCCTAGAGGAAGCAGAGGCAGGACATAGAAGCTCAAAAGAAGTGTTGGGCTCTGCCATAAGCTAATCTGACACGGGTGCAGTTCGCAGATGGAAACTTCACAGCCTCCTGTATGAGTGTCAAAGGCAGAATAGGTTCCATTGGCAAAAAGAGGTCAGATAGAAAGGTGATGTGATGTGGAGGGCTAGGGCACAAGTACAGTGGGAGGGCATTAGCCTTGCACGTAGCCGACCCAGGCCGACCTGAGTTCTATTTCCTCCGCCCCTCTCAGAGAGCCCAGCAAGATACCGAGAGTATCTCGCCCGCACGGCAAAGCCTGGCAAGCTCCCCGAGACAAACAAACAAACACTATCCTCCCATTGTTCATTGATTTGCTCATGCAGGCCCAGTAACGTCTCCATTTTTGAGACGTCTTGTTACTGCTGGAGCGATAGCACAGCAGTAGGGCGTTTGCCTTGCGCGCAGCCAGCCCGGGTTCAATTCCTCCGCCCCTCTCCTAGAGCCTGGCAAGCTACCGAGAGTATTCAGTATGCCAAACACAGGAACAAGAAGTCTCACAATGGAGACGTTTCTGGGCCCACTCGAGCAAATCGATGAACAACGGGAGGACAGTGTTTGTTTGTTGTTACTGTGTTTGGCATATTGAATATGTCACGGGTAGCTTGCCAGGCTTTGCAGTGCAGGAGAGATAGTCTCGGTAGCTTGCTATCGCTCCAGCCCATTTATATACATATATAAGATTTAAGAATCTTTTTTTCGAGCACATTTGACCCTGAGGAGCCCATGGTTAGGGAGAGATTGAAGAGGAAAAGGGATATTTGCTGTGGATATTTGCTAAGAGGGAAATTTGAGAGAAGATGGGGGAGGGGGGCAGAAGTTCAGGCTTCAGGTCACCTCTCTGGGTTTGAGTATCACTGGTTGCTGACAAGTATACACACCTTCAGCACTCGGGACCCCAACCACAACTTCAGGAGTTGGTTAGCACAGTTACTTTGTCCAGCAGCCCAGTAACTCTCTACTCATCTGCCTAAAAGACAATAATACAGTTGTATTATTTCTGTTCGGATGATTCCTCTGCAAGAAATGACATCATCTTAGAACACCAGTAGGTTACATTTTGATATTCCAGAGGAATTCATCAACTCCTCTGGAATGTCAAAATTCTGTGTATAATCTAGTCATTGGAAAGACAGCTGATACAGTATTATTTAAGTTCAAATGAGAAAACAGTTTTATACCCCTTTTGTAGAATGCAAATTAATTTCATTCTACTTTCATATGATCTGAACAGGTTGCTTTTAAGTATTGCCTGAAATATGGAAGTGACAAAGTACGAGTGATAACGCTGGTGAAGAACCGTGGGAAGGGTGGAGCAATTAAGATGGTAAGACCTGGTTTCAACATTTTCATCTAAAGTAGAGGTTTATTGAAAAACTTCTTTTCGCAGACTAGAAATGCCAGTATTTCAAGTTGTTGGCTAATTACTTTAGTAAGTCATATATATATATATATATATATGCATATATACTTCACTTAATCACTTAACTTCCCATTAGTCGTCGATTTGCTCAAGCGGGCGCCAGTAATGTCTCCATTTGTCCTTGTCACGTGCTAGTGTAGCCCAATGGCATCTGTTCGCACTGGGAACATGAAGAGCCTCAAACCAATCGTTCATGATCTTGACGAAGAAGTCTGACCATCTGGTAGGTGGGCGGCCACGCGATCTTTTGACATCACGTGGAATCCAGTCAGTAACAACTCTAGTCCAGCGGTCGTCTTTAAATCTCATTACATGACCAGCCTATCTGATTTTTGACACCTTGGCAAATGAGACGGCATCCCTGATTCTTAATCGTCGACGGATGTCGGAACTCCGGATTCTTTCTCTCATTTGAGTGAAACGTGATATTCCAAGCATAGCTCTTTCTATTCTTTGGGAGACCTGAATAGCGTTCTCATCCTGTTTGCGTAGGGCCCAGGTCTCTGAGGCGTATGTTAATGCAGGAAGAACAGTGGAATCAAAGAGATGTGCCCGGAGCCGGAGGTTCTTCGTCCTCTTAGCTATTGCTTCGACGTTCTTGAAGGCGTTCCAAGCTGTTCTCTTCCTCCTGCGCAGCTCAGGTGCCAGGTCATTTGTCATGTTGACTTCTCGACCTAGGTAGACATAGCTGTTGCATTCGGAGATGGTAGTTCCGTTGAGAGCGAATGGGGCGTCAGGAACAAGGCTGTTTCTCATAAACATTGTCTTCGTAAGATTCAGCTGTAGTCCTACCTTTCCACACTCACGGTCAAAGTCGGCCAACATTTGTGCCGCTTGGCTGATGTTTGGTGTTATTAAAACAATGTCATCAGCAAAGCGGAGGTGGTGTAGTTGCCGACCATCTATCTTCACTCCCATTCCTTCCCATTCCAGTCGTCGCATGATGTTCTCGAGGGTGGCACTGAAGAGTTTCGGTGAAATGGTATCACCCTGCCGCACCCCTCTCTTGACATCAACGATCACTTCTTTGTAGAATGGTGAGATCCTGGTAGTGAATCCGCAATACAGCTCACGGAGGATCTTGATGTATTGGGCTTGAATGCCCTGATTGGCTAGGGCTTCCATGACCGCTTCCATCTCAACAGAATCAAAGGCCTTCTTTAAATCAATGAACGTTAAACAGAGCGGCATCTTGAACTCCCGAGAAACCTCAATGAGCTTGGTTATCGTGTGGATATGGTCGATGGTGCTGAATCCTTTGCGGAACTCAGGTTGCTCGCATGGTTGTCCTTCATCTAGTGTTCTGCCAATCCTATTTAGGATGACTTGAGTGAACAACTTGTAGATGACAGACAATAGGCAGATCGGGTGATAGTTGCCAATGTCATGGATGTCTCCCTTCTTGAACAGTAGTACGGTCCTGCTGGTTTTCCATTGGGACGGAACCTTGCATTCAGACAGGTAGCGAGTGAAGAGCCGAGCCAGTGTATTGATGAGTACTGACGGCAGGTTCTTCAGGTGTTCAGGTCTGACCTTGTCTGGGCCGGGTGCTGTTTGTTTCTTTACCGACGAAATGGCGTGTCGGATTTCGGAAGGGAGAACGTTGGGAACGACATATCCATCCTGTGGAATTTGGTATGTCGGCAAGTGGACATGGCTATCGACATGGCTATCGAAGAGATTTGGATAATCTTCTCCATTGCCGTTCTGGAGGATGTGATGGATCCATCAGGACGTCGGAGGGCAGTCATCTTGGTCTTGTAGTTGGCGAAGGACAGGCGGGTGTTCCGAATACTTTTCCCAGCTTCTGCCGCATCTACCAGTACTTCTGCTCTTCTCTCTTTGAGGTCTTCCTTGATTGCATCTCTGCACTGCTTTGCGAGCTCGGGAGCTTGCGGTTGCCTGAGGCATGCGCCAAACCACGATGGCGAATTAGCTCAAGAGTTTTCGAAGACAGGCGTTTTTTGTGGCTACCTCTCTCTTGGCGTTCCTCGCACATTCATGGAGGTGCTGAACCAGTCGATCCCATTCCAGTCGTCGCATGATGTTCTCGAGGGTGGCACTGAAGAGTTTTGGTGAAATGGTATCACCCATCAATGTTCGTCAATGTTGTCAACAATGGCATCTTCCCATGTTGCCGCAATAGTGCCAAAGAGTTCCCAGTTGGTGGTCGTTCTGGGAGTTCTCTTTTTGAACTTTGCAGCCCTTTCTCCCCACTCTGTGAAGTAGAATTTTGCACGAAGGAGACGGTGGTCCGATCCCGTTCGAAATTTTGGGACAACAGCGACATCGGTCAGGCAAAACCGTCGATTGAATATGATGTGGTCTATTTCGTTGTGGAATCGTCCACCGGGAGACTCCCATGTCCAACGTTTAGATTCTGCCTTCTGGAACTGTGAGTTACCATGGATGGTCCTGGTCAACATGATGAACTCAGACAGTCTCTCACCCTGTTCGTTCCATTCTAGGCCATGTGTCCCGATGTGAAGTTCTTCAGCTGATCTTCTCGGTCCTATCTTGGCATTAAAATCACCCACAATGATCTTGTAGAAGGTGTGGTCTTCTTTATAGAACTTCTCCAGCTCCATGTAGAACTTCTCGATTTCTCTTTCATCATAATGAGATGTTGGTGCGTAGACAACGAAGATAGAAACTGCAGGCAATGAGCCACATCTATTCAAATGTAAACGTCCGATTCGGGTTGTTAGGCATTCGAATGAATCAATGCTCTTGGCCAAGTTTGTGTTGACAAGGACACCGATGCCTCCGACACCTCTTTTATCACATGTTCTGAGGAACAATTCTTCTCCAGTGTCGAAAACGGCATGGTGAGATTCGTGCCTTCTTAGTCTCAGTCAGACCAATGATGTCGTACTTGATCATTTGCGCTTGTACCATTAGGTCCTCGATGGATGCATCTGATGCTAGCGTACGTGCATTGAAAGTACAGACGATCATTTTTGTCTCCCTTCGTTGTGGCAGCCTAGTTCGGCCTTGAGGTTTTGTCGGCCTCTCCTTTCTCATCCTTCTCAGTGCTGCCATGTCGGTGAAGCCTTCAGGGTCAGATGAATGAGACCAGTTGTAGTTACTGGTTTTGGCATATCAAATACACAACGGATAGCTTGCCAGGCTCTTCCGTGCGGGCGGAATACTCTCGGTAGCTTGCCAGTCTTATATATACATATATATATATATTTAGCTCTGAATCTAGGGCTGGAGTGATAGCACAGCGGTAGGGAGTTCACCTTGCATGCGGTCGACCCGGGTTCAATTCCTCCGCCCCTCTCGGAGAGCCCAGCAAGCTACTGAGAATATCCCGCCTGCATGACAGAGCCTGGCAAGCTCCCTGTGGCGTATTCGATATGCCAAAAACAGTAACAACAGGTCTCACAATGGAGACGTTACTGGTGCTCGCTCAAGCAAATTGATGAACAAGGAGGACAGTGCTACAGTGCTACAGTTAGATCTGATCTGGAATATGTAATATTTGTAACATATTGGGTGATTTGGAAAATGTGTTTGTCTTTTTTTCCTTTGCTGTTGGGCCATAACCAGCAGTGCCAAGGGGCTGTTTTGGCTCTGTGCTTTAGGGACCTCCCAGTGGCACTTGGGGGCCAGTATGGTGCTGGGGATCTAACTCGGGCTCCTCCATGCAAACGCACGTGCTCAGACTGCTGCGCTCAACCTCTCAACCCCAGAAGTGCATTATCATAAAGGAACTGAGAGGCGTCTAACGCTACACGTAGTTTGTGGCAGAGTCATATAACACTGTGATTGTATTTATTTTTTGTGCTGTGCTTGAACCCGAGGCTTCACACATGCACGGCATGTGCTCTACACTGAACCACCGTTGTTTTGGGGGGTTTTTGGTTTTGGGTTTTTTTTTTTTTTTGGTTAATTAGATTTTTTTTAACAATTTACAAAATGCTTTTGTATGTTTTAAGTTTTACCTATGTAATAGCACTGTGCAAAAGATTCAGTGTGAACTAAAGTGAGTCTGATACTGGTATCTTTTGAGATATTTGTGCAAAATGTGCATAAGTTTAATCTTAATGTACATTCAAAGTAGTCTCTGGCCCTTTTAAGCGTCTCATGAGATGATAGGAATAATATATGCACATTTGTAGTATATGTGATAGGTATTTTGTATTTTTCTAACAATTATAGAATATTTTTAATTTTCCAAACTTGCCTGGAGCGATAGCACAGCGGTAGGGCGTTTGCCTTGCACGCAGCCAGCATGGCTGACCCGAGTTCGATTCCTCTGCCCCTCGCGGAGAGCCCGGCAAGCTACCAAGAGTATCTCGCCCTCACGGCAGAGCCTGGCAAGCTCCCCGTGACGTATTCGATATGCCAAACACAGTAACAACAAAGTCTCCAGTGGAGACGTTACTGGGCCCGCACGAGCTTTACTTTTTATTATAATAAGTTTTCTCAGGCATCAATATAGAGATACATTTGGGAAATTCTTATCATTATAATTTAGGAAACTTGAGCCCTCTTTCTGCCATTTCATACCAATGTTTCACTCATGGGATTTTTAAGTAAAGCAGAACATATATGCTGTTGAATTTATACTTAATCTTAATATCAAAACCAATTTTCTTTTAATTGAAAATTTTATTACAGGGTATCTTCAGTTCTCGAGGAGAAAAAATCCTTATGGCAGATGCTGATGGAGCCACAAAGTTTCCAGATATTGAGAAGCTAGAAAAAGGATTGAATGATCTACAACCTTGGCCTGTAAGTAAAAGAATATAGTTTAAATGTTAGTCAAACAAGGGGCTGGAGCAATAGTACAGCTGGTTATGTGCTTGCCTTGCGTGCAGCCAACCCTGGTTCAATCCCCACATCCATATGGTCCCCTGCACACTGCAGGAGTGATTCCTGAGTGCAGAGCCAGGAGTGTCCCTTGAGCATTGCCAGGTGTGCCCTCCCCCCCATGCACTGCACTGTAGCACTGTCCTCCCGTTGTTCACAATTTGCTGGAGCGGGCACCAGTAACTTCTCACAACAAATTGTGAGACTTGTTGTTACTGTGTTTGGCATATCGAATACATCACGGGTAGCTTGCCAGGCTTTGCCGTGCGGGCGAGATCCTCTCGGTAGCTTGCTGGGCTCTCCAAGAGCGGCAGAGGAATCGGGTTGGCCCTGTTGGCTGTGTGCAAGGCAAACGCCCTACCCGCTGTGCTATCACTCAGCCCTCCCCCCCACACACAAAAAAAAAGGCCAGACAAGAATACAGAGGGTATGAAGTAAGATTAAATGGAATTTGCATATAAGTTCAAAAATCAAAGGTGGGAGATAGTATGGAATTCCCACTCACACCCCAGAAATGTGCATCATTTTGTTATAAACATTTCAGTAAGTATCTAACATTTTCTAAAATCTCTCTGACAGTTACTTATTTCGATATTCTTGCCATCTCTCTTTTTAGATGCAAAACTTCTACATCTATTCTGAATATTCAGCTCAGACTTTCTCCTAAAAACTTAGATCAGGGCCAGAGAGATAACGTAAGGGGCTGGGCAGCGCAGTGTGCTCTGCATGCATGAGGCCAAGGTTTGATCCCTGGCACCACACCGTCATCTGAGTACCACGGGGTCTGGCCCAAAATCCAAAAATAAGAATCAAATAAATGCTTCAACCACCTCAAGATCCTTAGACTTCCAGGCATGTTTGTGAAGTGACAATTTGGGGAGCTAACTTAAAGGGCTTAAATACAGCACCAGGTTTGGTCGTCACCCCCACCCCCACCCCACCCCCCAGCATCTTATTACTAGCCTGAGCAGTGAACTATCCGACTGCACATCCAGGTCTTAGTTGGTGGGGATGAGCCCCAGGCCCCCAGAATAGCATCTAAACAAAGCTTGGGAAACCCCACATCCCCGCCCCTCCCCCCTGCGCCCCCCAAGAGCAAAAACAGTTGTGAAGATAAGAATTCAGCAATGTAGGTTTTTGGGGGATAGATGGCAGAACAGCAGAATATTATTGAAAGACCAGTTATAGAAAGAACAACAAATTGAGGGCCCAAATAAGATCAATAAATAAAACTATCTAAAACCAAATGTTTTGTAGCTGTTAAAATAATCTCCTTTTGTTTAGCGCAAAAGCCAAAAGGAGAAAGAGTTAAACACACAAAACCCATTAAACCCAAACCACCCTAACTAGAAGACTTGCTATAAAAATTCACCTTCTGGGGCTGGAGCAGTAGTACAATGGGTAAGACCTTTGCCTCAAGAACTAACCGTAGGCCGTAACCCCTGAGCATCACTGGATGTGGCCCCAAAACAACAACAACAGCAACAGAAACCCCTCACAGTTCTATGCTGTTTCCTGGAAATATTTGTGTCTTTGTGGTTCTGAAATATTCTCTTTCTTTCTTACTGTTCCCCACAGCAGGGTGCTTTTGTTTCATTTTGTTTTTTCCTCTGATGCCCCCAGCAGAGCCAGGGCAGGGAGTCCCCATAGGAAGCTTCGCAGGTGTGCGTGGTGGGGTGGTGCAGGCCTGCCCGTGGGGGTTCAGCCCAGTGGTTCAGAGCCGCTCAGGCCCCACTGGGCTCAAGGCCGCCGGCCACACCAGGGCCACGCATCGAAGCAGGTTGGGGAGGGGAGGAGAGGCGGAGACACACGCTGCAGTGCCCCAGACTCTGGGTCTGGCGCGCGCCTGCCTTGTGCTCTGCAGTTTGAGCTACTTTTTTGGCCCCTAGAAGTGTTTTGCTTTTTTACAATACTAAGTTAACTAGTATAATTTACAAGAATTCGTTCTGAAAATACCATTTTACCTGTGCTGTTTGAATTAATTAAAATCAAATGTTTGGCTCCTTAGTTTTACTGGCCACATTTCAGATCATTATGGTCAGTAAGTACCTTATTGGCGAGCACAGATACTGAGCATTTCCATCGACACCAAAAATTCTGTTGGGCAGTGCTGCATTATACCGTATGGTATGTAACGGGGAGTGGGGGGAGGGAGTAGTTTTTGAACCATACCCAGCTGCACTCAGGGATCCAACCCGATCGGCTGCATGCAAGGCCAGTGCCTACCCACAGTGCTCTCTCTTCAGCCCCAATGATGTGAAATTATTATTGGATATGTCACATGCTCATCTATCTAAAAAGGAATTCCTTCTTTTGTTTTTGTGTTAGTGGGCTGGAGTGATAGCACAGTGGGTAGGGCATTTGCCTTGCATGCGGCTGACCCAGGTTCAATTCCTCCCTCCCTCTCAGAGGGCACGGCAGAACCTGGCAAGCTCCCCGTGGCGTATTCAGTATGCCAAAAACAGTAACAAGTCACAATGGAGACGTCACTGGTGCCCGCTCAAGCAAATCGATGAACAATGGGAGGATAGTGCTACAGGGCTTTGTGCCACACCTAGTCATGTTCAGGCAGGGCTTACTCCTGACTCTGCTCAGGGATTACTCTTGGAGGTTCAGGAATCATGTGGGTGCTGGGGATTGCACCCAGGCTGGCTTTGTACAAGGCAAATGCCCTGTCATCGGAACCATAGCTCCAGCCCCAAAAGGAATTTCTTGACATACTCTTTTTCCTTAGATTCAACTTACTGTATCATTATACTCTGTTAACTTTTAAAGAGCTAAGGCACGTGATTGTAATTAAGCCATTAACTCACAGTCTTGGTTTATAACCTTGCTTTTTTAACTGCAGATTAAAGCCCCATACACACAAAAAAACTATTTTAAAATAAATGTATAATTTATCATCAGTAAATGTTTTATTTTATTTTTTTGTTTTTTTTATTTATTTATCTATTTATTTAAATGTACTTTTTAAATTTATTTATTTATTTAATTTTTTTTTATAATTTATTTCTTTATTGAATCACCGTGGGAAAAGTTACAGAGCTTTCAGGTTTAGGTCTCAGTCATGTAAATATCAAACACATTTCCCTTTACCAATACTTATTTTTAACCGCAAACCCCAATAGAACCCCACCTCCCACCCCTCCCAATTCCTGTGAGGCAGATGAGTTCTGGTTAATACTCTATCTACTTTGACTAGATACATTGTTTCGATAGAAGATGCACCATTATTGTTTAGAGTTTACGACCCCCCCCCCAATCAGATATGCTGAAACAGTGTTGCGAAATGATTTGCTTTCAACAGCTGGGTTTAAGAATAAAATGATGGTTTTGGATTTCTGCTGTTTTACTTATTAACCCTGGAAGTATTTCTATTAAAAGTTAGATAGTTAAGAGATTGGTTTCTGTGCTCTGGAGTCGTGGCCGTGCCGGAGAGCCGCTCGGGGGGTGGGGGGCGGGGGGGCAGCTGGTGACCTCGGTCGGGCGTGAAGGACGGCCCAGAACGCCCCCCTTCCCATGAGGTCCCTGCCGCCCCCACCCCCGGCTCAAACCTGCTATCCACAAGGCTCCCGTGCGGCCGCCATCTTTCTTTCCAGAGAGGCAAATGTTTTATTTTAATGTGACCCAGGGACACATTAAAATTTCTTTTTTTTTTTAGACTTACAAAATTTTTTTTTTGAATTTGTACAATGCTTTGGGGAATATTGTAATTATTTTTCTTTTTTTATTAGTGAAACACCATGAGGTACAGTTATAGACTTACAAATTTTGTGCTTGGGTTTCAGTTATACAATGATCAAGTGCCCATCCCTCCACCAGTGCCTGTCATCCATCACCACGGGTCCCAGCATCCCCCCCACCCCCCATCCCCTCCGTCCCATCCTGCCTCTGTGGCAGGGTATTCCCCCTTGTTCTCTCTCTCTTCTTTTGGGTACTGTGTTTTGCAAGAGAGTCATTGAGTGGCAATCATGTTTGGTCTATAGACTACTTTTAGCATGCTTCTCCCACCCTGGGAGGATCCTCACAGCACCCTTTATTTGGTGCTCTCTTCTCTATCTGAGCTTCTTTTCACCTAGCATGTGTGGCTGGCCTCCAAGTCATGGAGCAAAATTCCTGGTACTAATCTCAGCCATTCCTGGGTATTAGTCTCCCTTTTTGTTGCTTTATGTTCCCCAGATGAATGCAGTCTTTCTGTGTCTATCCCGCTCTTTCTGACTCATTTCGCTTAACATGATACTTTCCATGTAGTACCACTTGTATGTAAATTTCATAACTTCATCTTTTCTAACAGCTACATAGTACTCCATTGTGTAGATGTACCAAAGTTTCTTTAACCAGTCATCTGCTCTTGGGCACTCAGGTTTTTTCCAGTAACAAGGAATCAGAAGTTAACAAAAACTTTTAAGAAATCCTTATCTATAAGTAATACTTGAAGAACAGCTAATCCATAGTAGCCCGACTCACTTAATCACTTAATCACTTAACTTCCCGTTAGTCGTCGATTTGCTCGAGCGGGCGCCAGTAACGTCTCCATTTGTCCCTGTCGCGTGCTAGTGTAGCCCAATGGCATCTGTTCGCTCCGGGAATATGAAGAGCCTCAAACCAATCGTTCATGATCTTGACAAAGAAGTCTGACCATCTGGTAGGTGGGCGGCCACGCGGTCTCTTGACAACCCCTGGAATCCAATCAGTAACAGCTCTAGTCCAACGGTCGTCTTTAAATCTCATTACGTGACCAGCCCATCTGATTTTCGACACCTTGGCAAATGAGACAGCATCCCTGATCCTTGATCGTTGACGGATGTCAGATCGTTGACGGATTCGTTCTCTCATTTGAGTGAAACGTGATATTCCAAGCATGGCTCTTTCTATTCTTCTTTGGGAGACCTGAATGGCGTTCTCATCTTGTTTGCGTAGGGCCCAGGTCTCTGAGGCATATATTAATGCAGGAAGAACAGTGGAATCAAAGAGATGTGCCCGGAGCCGGAGGTTCTTCGTCCTCTTAGCTATTGCTTCGACGTTCTTGAAGGCGTTCCAAGCCGCTCTTTTCCTCCTGCGCAGCTCGGGTGCCAGGTCATTTGTCATGTTGACCTCTCGACCTAGGTAGACATAGCTGTTGCATTCGGAGATGGTTGTTCCGTTGAGAGCGAATGGGGCGTCAGGAACGAGGCTGTTTCTCATAAACATTGTCTTCGTAAGATTCAGCTGTAGTCCTACCTTTCCACACTCACGGTCAAAGTCGGCCAGCATTTGTGCCGCTTGGCTGATGTTTGGTGTTATTAAAACAATGTCATCAGCAAAGCGGAGGTGGTGTAGTTGCCGACCATCTATCTTCACTCCCATTCCTTCCCATTCCAGTCGTCGCATGATGTTCTCGAGGGTGGCACTGAAGAGTTTCGGTGAAATGGTATCACCCTGCCGCACCCCTCTCTTGACATCAATGATCACTTCTTTGTAGAATGGTGAGATCCTGGTAGTGAATCCGCAGTACAGCTCACGGAGGATCCTGATGTATTGGGCTTGAATGCCCGACTCACTTACATTAATTTGAACTCCGTTTATTTCATTTCTGGGAGAGAGATTACAGTGTTCGGGGACCATTCTTGACTCTGCTCAGGACTGAACCCTGGCGGTGCTTGGGGGATCATATGTGATGCTAGGGATTAAGCCAGGGTCAGTTGCAAGCATCATACCCTGTCCTTGAACTTCATGATTAAGAATTTTAATCGATATTTATCATTTAACACTTTTTGGAAGACTGGCAGGCAAATGACCGGTAGTCATTGTTCCATTATGAGCCCGGTAAACCCAGACACTGCCTGCGTTGAGCACTTCACCCATATCCCAGCCCCACTTATAGCACTGTGCTACGGTTGTTCATCGATTGTCTCGAGTGGGCACCAGTAACGTCTCCGTTGTGAGATTTGTTGTTACTTTGTTTGGCATTATCGAATACATCACAGGTAGCTTGCCAGGCTTTACCGTGTGGGCAAAATACTCTCGGTAGCTTGCCGGGCTCTCCGAGAGGGGCAGAGGAATCGAACCCAGGTCGGCCACGTGCAAGGCAAAAGCCCTATCCGCTGTGCTATCGCTCCAGCCCCACTTAGGCTTCTTGAATGGCTCTGCATATTCTCAACTCCTCAGCAGGTCTTTAAAACATACGATCTCGGGTCGCAGAGATAATACAGTGTGGAAGGCCCTTGACTTGTATGCAGCCCACCCAGGTCCTAACCCCAGCGTCAGACATGGTCCCACAGCAACACCATGTGTGGTCCCAAAATGAAACTAAATATGTAAAACCTTTTCCTGAGTCATGAGCTGGTCACATTGGAAATAAGTATTTTTGTGAATGATGATACTGAAATTGTGTTTTGTTGCTTCTCTTCTCAGGATCGAATGGCTATTGCATGTGGATCGCGAGCACATTTGGAAAAAGAATCAATCGCTCAGGTGAGGCTTTCACTGACCGGCACAAACCAGAGAGCCTGTTCCCCCTTTTTTATGTAGATAGAAGCAAAAGATAAGCTTTTGCAGCTAATCGTATAAAAATGAGGCATAGCTTTTTTAAAGGAAGTAAGTTTTTTAATTTTGTAATTTTTTGAAGGGTTGATATATTTAGAAATTAATACAGAAGAATGTAGACTTGGACTTAAATTTCAAAAGATCTTTTCTTTAAACCACAGTCCCGTTCAGGCATGATGCAGGCAGACTTTTCTCGATGCTGCATCTTAGACTAGCAGTTGACTCCCACAGAGATTGTCATGGGCCTGTTTCAAATCCAAATGATTCTTACAGACCTATACCTTTCCTATAGAAGGTCCTTTCCAAGAGGCCAGACACCGGTCCGACATGCCTGAAACACCATGGCATGCCTGCCGTCTCTGCACCACTCTGGGTTTCTCTGATGTGCTGTGGGTCAGTGGTTTTCAACCTTCAATCTGTGGACCATGCCGAGCCACCCACCTAGAAAGGTCTCAGTGGTTACAGCTGCCGGTCTGTGGACCGCGTGGAGACGGGAGCCCATCCTTGGGTGTATATGCCGATCAGTTTGTGGGGAAGGTATAAGCGTCAAGATAGCAGTAACCACATACTCGTAGAGTTTTCGGACATAGCATTCCAAAATACTTCGATTCATATCCTTCGTTTATAATTCCACCTCCCTGCTGCTGTCCGGAGGACAGACATTCGTACTCTAACACCTATGGAATCCTACAGCATCCTAACGTGTTCACGTCTCCATGTGATCTGTGAGACAATTAAAACAGCAGTGTATACGGTACATGGATATATTTGAATGTGTCATTTAGAAAAGACCCAAAATAGAACTAATTTCACATTTATTTGATGTCTTTAGTTTTTCCCTAGCAAATCTCGCTTCAGTCATGATGTCTTCTAACTATAGGCCTAAGGAGCAGGTTTAGCAGGCAGGACATTCATTTGCAGGTGACTGACTCTGATTCCATCTTTGATATCCATATCGTTCCCTAAGCCCTGCTAGGAGTGATCCCTGAGTGCAGAGACAGGAGTGAGCTCTGAGCACAGCTGGTGTTGGCCCCCAAACAAAGTAATAAAACTTTTAGTCATTTTGAATTTCACCTTTTTTGCTTATCATGAGCATTCAAGAAATTATTGTTAAGATTCTTTTTTCTTCTTGTTTTTAAATTTTATTTCTGAATTTCATAATTTGCTTTTGACTTTAACTTCTTATGTTAAATGTTTATCCTATTTATCCTTAGATGTTTTGTAAGCTATTTAGATATTTTTGCTTGAAATGCTTTTAAATGTTAGAAGTCAAATAAATTGGGCCAGAGATTTAGTGCTTGCCTTGCATGTGGCCTGCTAAAGTTTGAATTCCCCCCAACACACACACACACACACACACACACGCACGCACGCACGCACGCACGCACGTATGCACAGGCATGCACCATCAGGGGTCACTCTTGAGCACAAAGCCAGGGATAGCCACTGAGCTACTCAGGGTGTGTTGCAAAAAAAAAAAAAAAAGTTAAAGAAAAAGTGCATAGAAGATATTTCATCAATTGTATGAACACATTGGATTTGGATTTTGGGGGTTTGTTTTTTTTTGGGGGGGTGGCTTTTTGGGTCACACCCCACAGTGCTTGGGGGTTACTCCTGGTTCTCAAGAATTATTCCTGGTGTTGCTCAGGGTACCCATAGTATGGGATGCCAGGGATCGAACCCTGGTCAGCCACACTCAAGGCAAATGCCCTACCCACTGTACAATCGCTCTGGCCCACATTGTTTCTGATTTTTTTTTTTTTAATAAAAAACCTAAAGTCTTCTATTAACACCCAGCAAGAGATGTCAGATGTCATGAATTTTGTGATTTGATAACATATAAGCTCTCTTAAGTTATATTAAAACTCAAGGAGAACAGTTGATAGGTATTAATTTTCTACCTTTTAATTTTTATTTTTCCATCTTTCAGTTTCTATTTGTTCCTTTCCTAAGCATAAATGTTCTTTTGGAGGCTTATCAGTCACCAATATTAATTGCCAGTGTTTTATGTGGAAGGCCCTGGGCATGCTGTCGTGAGATCCCGAGTGTTTTTATGATGAGGCTCCTGCCTGTCTGCTTAGTGAGGTGAGGCATCTGTATAAACATAACTCATGCTTGTGGGTGAGAAGAGAGAAGTGCTGAGTCCTTTAAAAACCCTGAGATTCTCACATGCTCATGAATAAGTTATTTTATTCTTCCTTTCCTTTCTGCCCTACTATTTAAACAAGTGAAATTATGGTCAGGAGGTTAATGTAAATTTTCAAGCATTTCTTTATAGAAAACATTTATTGAGTTCCCTTACTTCCTGTGCCAGGCATTTCGCTGAAGACTTCAGTGTTTTCTCATTTAATCGGTGCAGTAATACTGAGATATTTTCATTCCCATTTTATGGATAAGAAGTATAAATCAGAGAAACTTGCTCAGGTCATACTACTAAGGTATCGATGAAGCCAGGGTTCAACTGTCAGGCTGCTCAGTGCAGTGTCTTTTTCTGCTTTGCGATGTTGCCCCAGTTCACCCATGGTTCTTTCTGATGGTGAAGGAAAAAACCGTGTGAATAAAGAATGATACTATGGGTTATAATTTAGGGAAACAAAAGCCAAGAGAACAGATCCTTACTTTATAGTATAAGATAGTAAATATTCTTAAGTAGATTCTTAGTAGGTTTCTTCTGTGCATATAAATGTCCTATATAAGTGTGTAGCCTGTTACCTTAATTGCAGAAAATTTTAAGAGATCCTAGCTTGTTAAAAAGCTCTTCCAGAGAGATATTACAACGGATATGGTGCTTGCCTTGCACAAACAGGACCTCGGTTTGGTCCCTGGCACCCCGAGTGGTCCCCCAAGTCCCACCAGGAGTGATTTCTGAGCATAGAGCCAGCAGTAATTCCTGAGCAATGCCAGGGGTTACTGTTGGCACTAAATTTAAAAATCTTAAATATAGTAATATTGAGAATCTGTTTTAAAGTTTGCAGTGTTTTATGTTATGTTTTATGTTTACTTTACGTTATAATGAGATGTTATGTTCTTTACTAATAAAATTGATCACTAGGGGGGAGGGGGCGGAGAGATAGTAGGGCATGTAGGGAGTTTGCCTTGCACAGGGCCAACCCGGGATTGATCCCCCAAGCCCCACCTCGCGTGATCCTGAGCACAGAGCTAGGAGGAAGCCCAGAGTTTTTCAAAATGAAACTGTTTGGAGAAAAGAGGCACAAAATATACAGGCAAGATGCTCATAGCAGCTCCAAATTGCTGTTCCTGAAAGAGTAAAGTTCTCATCACTCAGCGATCCCATCTAGGTTCCTTGTGTGACTCAAATCTCTGTGCAGTGAGTCATTACTCTCTAGTGCCTCTGCCAAGAGGAGGGCAGTGTGCAGCCTCAGAGTTTCTAGAAGATACTTTGCTAGTAGAGCTAATGGAGCATGGGAGTTCATATCTGTCCATACAATTGAATATCCAAATGCAGTTGTTTGTGCCAGGTGGGTTCAGTGTCTCCTTTATAGGCCGATGGAAAAAGTCATTCCTATTTTGTTTTTCAGCGTTCTTACTTCCGCTCTCTTCTCATGTATGGTTTCCACTTTCTGGTATGGTTCCTTTGTGTCCAAGGAATCAGGGACACGCAGTGTGGGTTCAAATTGCTAACCCGAGAAGCAGCTTCGAGGACATTTTCATCTCTGCATATTGAACGATGGTAGGTTCCCAAATGGAATATATTTAGTACATCTTATAAAACAGCAGTTATTCCAGGTAATGAAAAGCAGTCTTAATCTCCTAGAATGAATATTTAGGCTTAAATAAAACTGACACATGTATATGAACTTAATCAGGACCTTTATCATTTAACGGGATTTGTATATTCACCTTAGCTGTAGACATTGAAAACATTACTTTTCGGGATTTCCTTAAACTTCCTCTTTCTTTCTTCCTTTTTCAGAAATAGTTCTTTCTCCTGCCCTAAACATTCTTTCAGCCACTATAGCGCCTTCCACCTTAAGCACCCAATTTTTTGTGCTTATTTTCTCTCTTTATTCAGCCTTTTCCTATCGAATGCATCTTTTCCAACACTTCTTTTAATAGGAAAAAAATAAAGTTGAATTTTAAGATTTAAAAATTTTTTGATAGCACAGCGGGTAGGGCGTTTGCCTTGCACGCAGCTGACCGGGGTGACCCGGGTTCGATTCCTCCACCCCTCTCGGAGAGCCGGCAAGCTCCTGAGAGTATCTCGCCCGCATGGCAAAGCCTGGGAAGCTCCCCATGGTGTATTCAATATGCCAAACACAGTAGCAACAAAGTCTCACAATGGAGACATTACTGGGCTCACTTGAACAAATCAATGAACAACTGGAGGACAGTGCTACAGTGTTATTTTCAAAATTGTAATTTTTTTTAAATTACATTAAAACAATTTTTTAGTTAAACTTTAAATTTAGTCATTTCCTGGGCCCAGTGCGATAGTACAATGGGTAGAGTGCTTGCTTTGCATGCAACCGACCTGATTTTGATCCCCAGCATCCATTATTGTCCCCTGAGTACTGGCTGGAGTGATGCCTGAGTGCAGAGCCAGAAGGAAGTCCTGAGTACCTGTTAAGTATGGCCCAAGAATTTTTTTTTTAAAGTTACTGATACACTGTATTTTGTATGTTACATCTTTATTTATTTTTTTGCGTTACATCTCATTGACTCAGACCCGAATGGCCCCTGTAGTCCATCTTTGTCTCCAGGGTTTATTACCCACGCCCTTCTGTTTTATTAGAGCAGATCATCAGATAATGTCCTAAAAATATAAGCAACCTAGAGAATGTATGTGGGAAAGTACTTTTATTGTACTTTGCATTTGTTTAATAGCTAGACAAGCAATTTTTATGAATTGGAAAACATTTTTCCTTAGAATTTTGGAAGCATTGTTCTGTTGTGTTTTGCATTCAGTGTGTCTGTGAAGTTCAAGCCCAGCTATAATGAAAATCTTGATTCTTTTCAATGACTTGTGCTCACCCCGACCCCTATCCACACCCTCCCTCAGAAGCTTTTTTTCCCACAGGGTTTTGAATAAGTTCTGGCACTTAATGTGGCTCTTTGTCATGTATTTTGTTCAATAATGGCTCTATCAATCTGGAAACACCTTTCTGAGAGATGACCTTTTTATTACTTCCTTGATAATCTCTTCTGTTTTTGTTTTTGTTTTTGTTTTCTCTTACAAAACCTCTTACCTATTCTCTAATTTTATCCTTTTTTTCCTTTTGGTTTTTGGGTCACACCCAGTGATGCACTGGGCATACTCTGTACACAGGGATCACTCCTTGCGGCCTCAGGGAACCATATATGGTACTAGGGATCTAACATGCGAGGCATGCACCTTACCCAATGTACTATCATTCCACAATTTTTTTTGTTTGTTTTCTTTAAGGAAATTTCCACAATGTCATTATCTAACCCTCTTTTTGAATTTCATTTCTGCTTTCAAAATTGTAACTGCATGTAATTCCTATTTTCCAGAATCCATTGTTTAAAATCTTTATCTTACTGACTTATCACTATAAGTTCTTGCACTGTGCCTCCTTTATTTCCTTTATTTTCCTGCTCTGTTTCTGCTAATCCTCTGTGCTTGTTTTTGTGTAGCATTAATACTTTCATCAGAGCCTGGAGGAGAGACAGCTCGAAAAACTGGAGCACATGCCACCAGTGATTGAGGCCCATTAAAAGTGACACACATTAGCTCCCTTGAATCTTAGCATCACCTGCCCACCGGAGCAGCTGAATTGTGCAGGGCTAGAGCACCAGCAGTCAGAGCCTCCTTCACAGCCAGGCTGATTGTCAGCAGGAGTGGCCACTGGTCCACAGATACTGCAGTCCCCCTCACTGCTCCCCTACCCCCCGCCCCCCATACACACATACTTTAAAACCCAGACCAGGAGTTTGGAATATGAGATTGAAAAAGTGATTCAGGAATGTAAAACAGTGAAGAAACTGTTTAGAGATGGTCGAAAGAGGATGAAGAAGGTTTCACATATGGTATTTCTCTCCAGAACTTCATGTCAGGGGAAGGAAGGAAGAAGCTGGTACCGAGGAATTTCATAGGCAAATGAAGGAAAATGTCCCGGTGAAATAAGACTCAAAAACTGTAGGAAAAGCAGATGGAACGGAAACCACGGGCTAACGGAGGAAGTTTTTTAAGAAAGGCACGGGGTTGATGGAGTGAGCATTTTAATAGAGTGCAAGCTGAGACCAAACAGTGAACCTCGGTCTTGTGCTTTTCTCTAGTTGTTCCCAAAGAAGCGCTTCAGAGTAGACAACTCTAGTGTCACACTGGCAGAACAGAATTGCCAAGCACAGATAGGGAAGTGGGAAGTCCCCAGGAGTGCTGTGTGTAGAAAAGAACCTGGGTTCTTGGGTGGTAAGACTCTGCTCGGGCTGGAGCGATAGCACAGCAGATAGGGCATTTGCCTTGCTTTGCATGCAGCCAACCTGGTTTTGATTCCCAACATCCCATATGGTCCCCCGAGCACCGCCAGGAGTCATTTCTGAGTGCGTGAGCCAGGAGAAACCCCTGTGCATCGCCGGTTGTGACCCAAAAGGTAAAGGTAAAGGTAAAGGCCCTCCCGTTGATCGTCGATTTGCTCGAGCGGGCCCAGTAACGTCTCCATTGGAGACTTTGTTGTTACTGTGTCTGGCATATCGAATACTCTCGGTAGCTTGCCGGGCTCTCCGAGAGGGGCGGAGGAATCGAACTCGGGTCGGCCATGTTGGCCGCTTGTAAGGCGAACGCCCTACCCGCTGTGCTATCGCTCCAGCCCCAAAAGAAAAAAAAATTCTTCTTGCAGTGCTCAGGGCACTGTTTGACCAGCTCCCTGAGTAGCTGAAAATATTACCAGTTCTGTGCTTTGCACAGTATCAAGTCTGGGATTGAAGAGTCAATTCTTAACCATTTCTAGAATTAAGATTTCTCTTACTGTACAAGAGGCTATTACTACTTGTGGGAGTTTCTTAGCTGAGAGGGACACTGTGTATTTTTAAATTTTTGTGCTGTGATGCAGGAACTCATTTTCTTTACCTGGAAACTTCTGAACTGTTACCTTTTGTTTGACCTTTTGTGAATCTGATCTTCACTTTTCTAATGAGGACTGACTTCTGGCATGCCATCTTTGAAACTTGCCAAGAGAGATATTTAATTGCACTCTACTTGTCATTTTGTAAAAAATAAATTATCAATATATTTTCTATTTCAGGGCATTTGATGTAGAACTGCTTTATATAGCACAGTTCTTTAAAATCCCAATAGCAGAAATTGCTGTCAACTGGACCGAAATTGAAGGTGAGTCTCATGATGACGTTCCAGCTGATGCCAGTGAGGTTTTGGGGGGAGTGTCGCAGAGCGTGGCTGCCCAGTAGCCTTGAGAGTCATTGGGCCCCCTGCCCCATCAGGACCCACCAGCTGTCTTGACTCCAAGCGCGAACTCCCACCAGCCCGCTTCCTCTCTCTTTTATGCTCTCTGTTTGGGGGTCTTCAGTCAGCCCCCCACCCCGCCCAGGGAATTGAGAAACTTGCCGCAGTCAGCGGGAACACAGGGATCTGAGGTCCGTAGTATCGATTGACATCCTGCTTCATCAGAGATAAACTGGATCGTTTGCATCACCCATTTTAAAAATATTGTATGATTTCATTACTCAGTTGAATGCTGGGGACCAACAAACCACCATGCAGAACTAAATTAGAAATAGATTTTTTTGCTTCAAGCAGTCAGAGCCAATTTTGTTGTTGGTTTGTTTTGTTTTTGCTCCAGGCTTACTCCTGGCTCTGCCCTCGGGGGTCACATGCAGTGCTTCAGGGGTCAGCTTTGAACAGCGCAGACCACCTGCTGTTCCGTTTTTGGGGCCCTCAGAACCAGTGTTTTGCTACTGTCTGTTCTTATATTTAAAAAACATGTAGAAACTGAAGCAATCCCTTAAAGGGCTAGAGCATGAGTCGGGCGTGCACAGGGTCCCAAGTTTGATTCCTGACCCTCCCCGAGCACTGCCGGGTGTAGTCCTGATGACATCCAACACTGCTGCCTGTGAGCGCCAGCCTGCCAGCCCTACTGACAACCACCACAGTGACTGCTGGGCCCTAAGTTTTGGGGAGCCCACCTCCCCCCAAGAAATGTAGTGGTCTTACGAGTTATAAGTTCTATAATCATGTGCTATTTATCATAAATCTTAATTCCTTTCCAGGAAAGTATATGCAGTGCTGACTGGGTGTGTTGTAAAAGTAGAGTCTTCTCCTTTGCTTAAATTCAGAGGAGCTGGAGTGGTAGCACAGCGGGTAGGGCCGACCTTGCACACAGCCGACCCGGGTTCAGTTCCCAGCATCCCCTATGGTCCTCTGAGCACCGCCAGGGGTAATTCCTGAGTGCAGAGCCAGGAGTAACCCCTGTGCATCGCCGGGTGTGAGCCAAAAAGAAAAATAAATAAATTCAGAATGGAGACTTTACCTTACAATAGAGTGAACTTTGAGGAGGATAGGGAGGCTATTCGGGGGATACTCCTGGCTTTGTTCAAGGTACCAGAGGGGATGCTGGAGATCAAACCCAGGTCAGGCACATGCAAGGCAAATGCCCTCCCCGCTGTGCTGTCTCCTCCTGCCCTCAACAGGAGACATTTTTTTAGAGTCTTGCTTCTCAGGGAGCAGGGCCCTCCTTGCAATGTCATTGTCACAGAAACCATGGCTGCTCTGTAACCTCAGATGTTTAGGACAAGATTAAGAGCCAGTCTGAAAATGTACCAAATGTGGAGTCTTGTAGAATAAAGCAGAGTATCTAGAAGCTTCTCTAATTTCCATAATAGTGACCTCAAGCAAAGAGAACTGGGCTGCTCAGGGCTGTGATCATCAGTTCTGTTGCTGTTTATGCCCAATGAAGCGTCGATGGAAGTTAAAGTAGGGAAAGATGGGAATGTGTTTCATATTGGGGCTGGAGCTATAGCACATTGGGTAGGGCACTAGCCTTGCACGTGGCTGGCCTGGGTTCAATCCTCGGCATCCCGTGTGGTCTCCTGAGCACTACCAAGAGTAATCCCTGAGCACAGAGCCAGGAACAACCCTTGAGCATCACCAAAAAATAAAAAAAGTATGTTTCATATTTCTGATTTAGCTTGTTTGCATTGTAAAGGTTGTGTCCTGCTATAAATTATTGCTCGAGCGGGCCCAGTAACGTCTCCATTTGGAGACTTTGTTGTTACTGTGTCTGGCATATCGAATACTCTTGGTAGCTTGCCGGGCTCTCCGAGAGGGGTGGAGGAATCAAACTCGGGTCGGCCATGTTGGCCGCTTGTAAGGCGAACGCCCTACCCGCTGTGCTATAGCTCGGAGAGCTATAAATTATAAGTTACTCAAATTCCTGATTTGTAGAACGACGATATTTGCCCCTGATGAATAATACAGAATATAAATCCTAAGAACAAAGTGCTTTAGTAATCATGTTTTCATTAAGAAAACTGCTGTAGATATTCAAACCAGTAAAGGGGTTTCTTTTGACAGTGGAGATAATGAACATGGTGAGGTAATGTTATTTTATTGTATTAGTATTTTTGTCTGCCTCTATTGTTTAATTTTTAAATTATCTTACTGTCATTCAGGCATCACAGTTATAGTGTTACTATTTATGTCCTCAAGTGTGAATTACTCTCCACCGTTGTCATGCAACTTTAAAAATCACCTGGCAAGGGGTGTGGTATGCGGGCCACCCCAGCTGTGTTCAAGGCTCACTCCTGGCTCTGTGCCTAGGTATCACTGCTGGTGGGCTCAGGGGACCATATTGGGTGCTATAGATCAAACCAGGGAAAGCTGCGTGCAAGGCAAGAGCTTTAACCCCTGTACAGTCTCTTCAGCCTGGTAATGAGATGTTCAGCCTCTTAACATTTGTCCCTGTACCAGTAGGTTTGGGGCATATGAGCATTCCAAGGCCCTGCTCTGACACGTGGCTCAGACATTTAATTCGGATTCTGGTACCTTGAACAGTGAGGTCTAGACAAAATTTCCTAACTCTGAGGATGAACTTTATATTTTTCACCATTAGGTTGAATTCATATGAAAAGTAATCTTTTCTTGGGAGGTCCAGAACTGGGTCTAAGGGGAAATTACAGGGAAAGGAGGCCCAGGGAGCCGCATGCAGTTGTTGGCCACCAGGTCAGCATTTCACTGCCAGGTCCCTCGGGAGTGGCGCTGCTCAGGCCCCGAGGTGTCAGGGACTCCTGCCATCCCCCCTCTTTTTTTAAAATTTTTATTAGTGAAACACCATGAGGTACAGTTGTAGACTTACAAATTTTCGTGCTTGGGTTTCAGTTATACAGTGATCCAGTACCCATCCCTCCACCAGTGCCCATTCTCCATCATTTACTTTTTTACTTTTTTTTTTTTTTAATTTTTGTTAGTGAAACACCATGAGGTACAGTTGTAGGTTTACAAATTTTTGTGCTTGGGTTTCAGTCATACAATGATCAAGTACCCATCCCTCCACCAGCGCCCATTCTCCACCACCACGGGTCCCAGCATCCCTCCCACCCCCTATCCCCCGCATTGCACCCTGCCTCTGTGACAGGGCATTCCCCCTTGTTCTCTCTCTCTCCTTTTGGGTGTTGTCATTTGCGAAAGAGGCATTAAGTGGCAGTCACGTTTGGTCTATAGTCTACTTTCAGCACGCTTCTCCCATCCTGGGAGGACCCTCCCAACACGCTTTCTTTGGTGCTCCTTTCTCAATCTGAGCTCCCTTTTCCCCTAGAGTGTGCCTGCCACCCCCTTGGTACCAGGTCTCTCCAGGGATGCCTCTGCCAGTGCGTGGGAGCCCTGGTGTTAGGGATCCAAGCAGGACCACTCTGTGCTATCTTCACCCTTGTCCTGTCTTTCCAACTCCCCAGGACACGTAACTTCACCTAATCTCTTATGTGTGATCGGTTGTTTATATGTCGTTTTTATTTTTTATTAACCAGCACTCAGTCAACACTGTCTGGTTAGGCATTCTCAGAACCCTCAGCCATCTACAGTTCCACACCCCCTAATTCAAGGGTCCTCTAAGATGTTCACAATTTAGAGCCACCAAGTTTCATTTCATTTCAAGAGGATTTGTTTACTGTTTTTAGAAAAACTTGTCACTTTGAATTGAACTTCAACTTCGAAGAAGTTTCTTTCATTCATGTAAATCGGACCATCCCGCTGTGCACTCCAAATGCATTTCCATTTCATTTGTTAACTATACCTCAGTCCAGTCCAGGTTGAGTATGGGTGAAAAGAGAGAAAGCTGCTAGCTCAGCATTTGTACTTCATCAGAAAATCGTCAGCAGTTGTGACCTTGGCCATGCCATTTTACTCTACCTGTCACCCCAGTTACCTGACCTGAAAACTGCAGGAAATGGCAAGAATTTCTGTTTGTGGTTTGGTCGAAAACAATTCTGGTTTTTTTTTTCCTGCTCTTGCTTTTTGGGTGACACCTGGTGATGCTCAGGGGTTACTCCTGGCTCTGCACTCAGGAGTTACTCTTGGCAGTGCTCGGGCGACCATATGGGATGCTGGGAATCGAACCTGGGTCGGACGCGTGCCAGGCAAACACCCTACCTGCTGTGCTGTCACTCCAACCCCAGTCGAAAACTATTCCTAAAGGGTAAAATCAAGGAGTAAACGTTTTTAAAACATGCAAAGGAGGCAAATTTTATGTACTTAAACTGGGTTTGGTAATTGAGCAAACTATTAGATAGTAAGATATGGTGTGTGTAAGATGGTATTTACCTGATTGAGAGTATTGGAAGAGAATTGAAACAGAAATTGGGATTTTTGTCCACAATTTCTTTTTCTCTTTCTTTTTTTTCCTTCTGGGTCACACCCAGCGATGCTCATGGGGTTATTCCTGTCTCTGCATTCAGGAATTTCTTCTGACGGTGCATGGGGGACCATATGGGATGCCAGGGATCAAACATGGATTGGTCATGTGCAAGGCAAACGCCCTCGCCACTGTACTATTGTTCTGGCCCTTGTCCACAATTTCTTATCTCAAATTATCTGTACTTATGAATAGAAGGGTGCCCAGATTTCTAGTTCAAAAGACACTGAGAAATAACATGTAAAACATGACCAAAATCACTTTTAAACATGCAGATAAAATTGAATGTTTCAGGGCCAATATGGCAAGTAGGACACTTGCCTTGCACACAGCTGTCTCAGGTTAAAGCCCCTATACTGCATAGAGTCCTCAGACACCACCAGGAGTGATCTCTGAGTGCAGAGCCAGGAGAAAGACCCAGGCACCACGAAGTATAGCAAATAAATAAATTTTTAAAAAATTTTAAATGAAATGTTTCACTTACATGTGCAGATACTACAGTACTTGTAAAAGTTAAGGCTCCTTTTCACAAAGGTCATGTAGACTGAGTTTTAAAACACAGTTTTTGAACTAATATACTTTACTCTGAGTTTAAGGGGTTTTTTTTCTTTTTTTTAACTATCTTTAAATTGCAGGTTCTAAATTAGTCCCATTTTGGAGCTGGCTACAGATGGGCAAGGACCTGCTTTTTATACGACTTCGGTATTTGACTGGTGCCTGGAGACTTGAACAAAACAGAAAAATGAATTAGGGTATTTGTCATCTCTAATTGTATTCTTACATAACAGTGTCACATATTTCATTTGAAATTAAAATTTTAAATAAAGTTGGTATAAACCTATGCCATTGTCTGTCTTTTGTTAATTTTTAAAGAATTAAATGCTTATAACTAAAATATTGTATCTTTTTTTGGACCCAAAAAAACCTTGTTTTGGACCCCCCAAAAAAAAGGCCCATTGTTTAAAAGTGTAACAGTCAGGTTTTTGTTTTGCTTTAACAGTTTTATTTTCATTAAACATCATGATTCTGAACAATATAAGTTTGAAATAGATGACAGAAACAATTACACTTCCATAAGTGCATACACACACACACACACACACACACACACACACACACACTGTAGCAGTGTCACGGGTAGCTTGCCAGGCTTTGCCATGCAGGCGAGATACTCTCAGTAGCTTGCTGAGCTGTCCTAGAGGGGCGGAGGAATTGAACCCGGGTCGGCCTCGTGCAAGGCAAACGCCCTACCCGCTGTGCTATCGCTCCAACCCACACACACATATATACATATATATATGTGTATGTATATGACATACATAGTTTGGTTTTGGTTTGAAGGCCACTTCCACCTGTGCTCAGTGCTCACTCGTGCTTCTGGTCAGATATCCCCTCCTGGGTAGTCAGAGGTCACTCTTGGAAGTCCTGGCACTGGATGCAGGGCTGGGGATTGAATTGGCATCAGCCACATGCAAGGCAAGTGCCTTCACTTCTGCGCTGTCTCTAGCCACGTGGACTTAAGTATAAACCATAAGCCTTGTGGACAGCAGGTTTGAGCCGGGGGTGGGGGCGGCAGGGACCTCATGGGAAGGGGGGCGATCTGGTCCGTCCTTCACGCCCGACCGAGGTCACCAGCTGCCCCCCACGAGCGGCTCTCGGGCACGGCCACGGCCCCGGAAGCACAAGGACTTAGCACAGAAAGTCACCCGCTTGGAGCAGAAAAGCAAATGGACTGTGTTAAACCGCGCCAGCATGCCTGCCCGGAGGGGAAAGGGTGTTGCTCCATTCACCCCCTCCTCTCTGGAAAGTAGGATGGGTGCCCCGCGGGAGCCTTGTGGACAGCAGGTTTGAGCCGGGGGTGGGGGCGGCAGGGACCTCATGGGAAGGGGGGCAATCTGGTCCGTCCTTCACGCCCGACCGAGGTCACCAGCTGCCCCCCACGAGCGGCTCTCCGGCATGGCCATGACTCCAGAACACAGAAACCAATCTCTTAACTATCTAACTTTTAATAGAAATACTTCCAGGGTTAATAAGTAAAATAGCAGAAATCCAGAACCGCGCGGCCGCAATAGCATCATTTTATTCTTAAACCCAGCTGTAGAAAGCAAATCATTTCACAATGCTGTTTCAGCATGTCTGATTGGGGGGGGGGGGTCGTAAACTCTGACTAGATACATTGTTTCGATAGAAGATGCACCATTATTGTTTAGAGTATTAACCAGATAAGTAGATAGAGTATTAACCAGAACTCATCTGCCTCACAGGAATTGGGAGGGGTGGGAGGTGGGGTTCTATTGGGGTTCGCGGTTAAAAATAAGTATTGGTAAAGGGAAATGTGTTTGATATTTACATGACTGAGACCTAAACCCGAAAGCTCTGTAACTTTTCCCACAGTGATTCAATAAAGAAATTATAAAAAAAAAAGTATAAACCATAATTGTAGTTCAGTACTCAGGGATTTTAAAATCATAGTGTTTTATTATTAGATATATAAATTTATCAAGATTAAAGGAAGCTATATGTCAGCCTATAAAACTGATGTTAGGTGGTAAAGACAGCTGCATAGGCTTAGTCACAAAGTTCTACAATGTCTAATATGTCATATTATCTCCTACCCTTATATGTGATCCTTGTACTTACTTTGTGGCAATGCTTCCCTCAGAAGTCTAATATTGGCAATTATTTTCTTTAAAAAAAGTTTAATTGTTACGTTTTGAGGCCACATATGGTGGTGGTCAGGGCTTACTCCTGGCTCTGCTCAGGGGTCACTCCTGGCAGGGCTCGAGGGACCATATGGGGTGCCAGGATCAAACCTGGGTCAGCTGTGTGCAACACAAGCACTCTGCCTGTTATCCTATTGTTCTGACCCAATAAAGCAAATTTTTAAAAACATTTATTACCAGATTTTGAAATCCTTAAATTCACAGAAGCGGTTCACTGGGCTGGAGTGATAGCACAGCGGGTAGGGCGTTTGCCTTGCACGCAGCCGACCCAGGTTTGATTCCTCCGTCCCTCTTGGAGAGCCCGGCGAGCTTGCCCAAGAGTATCGTGCCTGCACTGCAGGGCTTGGCAAGCTCCCCGTGGTGTATTTGATATGCCAAACACAGTAACAAGTCTCACAATGGAGATGTTACTGGTGCCCGCTCGAGCAAATCGATGAACAACGGGAGGACAGTGCTACAGCTAAATTCACTGAAATGAATATAACAAAGCAAGCCTTAAAAACTTATTTTTCCTGGAGCTGGAAAGTGTGGACTGAGTGTAGACTCTGCACACTGAAGACCCAGGTCCAATTCCCAGCACCTCATTGTTCCCCACGCACCATTAGGAGCAACCCCAGCACTAAGCTGGAAGACCCAGTGGATATGAGCCCCCACTCCAAAAAATAATAAGTTTTTAAGATGCCAGAGAGAGATTACAGGGTTAAATATGCCTTGCGTACTATTGCCCTTCAGCTCTGGTTGACACAGTGGTACTGCTCACAGTTCCCTGAGCACCACTAGGGGTCACTCCTGAGCACAGCCAGGAATAGGCCCTGAGCACTACCTGGTATGGCAGGGGGTGGGGGTGGGGGGAATTATTTATATGTATACACATATTTATATGAAAATGTTAATGATGTAAGATAAAGATAAATGAGATATCTTCTGAAGAAGAATAAATTTTTGCACTTCATGAATCAGGAAATTAAGCCCCTAATTTCTTACTTTGCTTGCAGTTCTCGATGCATGACTGGCTCTGTCCTCGGGGACTACTCATAATGGTGTTTGAGGAAACATGGGGTGCCAGGGATTGGCAAGTACCTTACCCCAAGTACTGCCTCTGTCCCTCACTTTGCTCTTTGTCATCCTTCTGAAACTTAGGACAGTAATCTTACTCATATTCTTTTGTGGGTTCTTTGGGGAAACTGGGCATAGCCCGCGATGCTCAGGAGTTGATCCTGGCTCTGCACTTAGGGATCGAGCCTGGCAGTGCTCGAGGGAACTATATGGGATGTCAAAGATCAAACCAGGGTTGACATAGTGCAAGGCAAACTCCAACCTGCTCTGCTATCACTCCAGCCCCCACTTACATTTTACACTGCATTCCACAAGAGCCAAAGGAATTTGAAGGGAAGGGCCAGTCGAATTGGGATAATTATACAATGACCACAAAATAAAAGCAATCAAAGGACTTTCACTTCTGGAAAGATGAGGTAGATGTCACTGAGCTCCATATAACTCAAAATCCTGTACAGACACATGCCTAGAATAAGAATGATAGCACAGCGGCAGGGCGTTTGCCTTGCATGCAAACAACATGGCCAACCCGAGTTCGATTCCTCCGCCCCTCTCGGAGAGCCCGGCAAGCTACCGAGAGTATCTCGCCCGCGCGGCAGAGCCTGGCAAGCTCCCTGTGACGTATTCCATATGCCAAACACAGTAACAACAAAGTCTCCAATGGAGACATTACTGGGCCTGCTCAAGCAAATCGATGATCAACGGGAGGGCCTTTACTTACTTACTTTTACTGAAAAGTGAAAAGGAAAGGACTGGTGGCTGGGGAGACAGCCCTGGTGGTCGTGCACATATCGACACGCACAAGCCATTAGTTTGATGGGCCTCCTCAGACACCACCAGGGATTCCCCTAGTGGCCTCCATAGTCAGGCCAGAGTTTCACTGCACAGCCAGGCCCAGCACACAAGAATTTCAGACACAAGGAATGATATGGTGAGCTCCTCAGATTTGCTTTCTGTCTCCTGTCCCAGACTTGAAGCAGAAACTGGCAATCTAAAATTACCAACAACCACAGACCCCAAGGAGCCCTAACGAGTCTCATTTTCTTGCCCAAGACCAACAAAAGGCAAGGCTGACATAACAGAAAACTTAGATGTGACTGTTCCACTACATGCAGACACTAGAGAGGAAAAAGTTAGAAGTGCCCCAGGCCTGCTGACAACAGCAAAGGAGCTCTGGGGAGCCTGGGCTTGCACCGGAGTTGACCACCCAGAAGAGGCTGAGTTGGGAGCAGGACTTCTTTCCCATCATCCACTAACAAGAGCACCCGACATCAGTGGAGAGTGCCAACACCCTGCACTGCACTTCCTGATGTCTGAGGTACTACTGTCCACCAGGCCAGTAGCAGAGGAGGCCTCGCTTCCTCTGCTGAATCCCTGGAAATGAGGCACCCCACTGCAGAAATGAGGATTATGGAGCAAGAGAGAGCCCCAACAACTGCCAAAATAGAGATTTTCCTACCCCTTTGGTGCTAACAGAAGTCAAGAGAGAACATGTTCGATTTTTTATTTATTTAATTTTATTTTTATAAAGTTGTTCACAATAATTACATTTAATATTCCAACACCAATATTACCACCATTATTTACAATTTTCACCCCTTCCCACCACCATTATTTTCAATTTTACCAACCACCACCCAAGCCTGCCCCAATAGTAGGCCCTAAGCAATTTATTTTGTATTGTTATGAATAACCCACTAAAAATAAGCGGGTTTTCCTTAGAAGAAAGTGTGTTGCTCAGGCTGCAAGCCTCATGCATGAATGAAGTCCAACAAGACCCAGGTAGTGTGGAACTTTGCGACCCTGGTCTCTGGGCTCAACAGGAGTGGGAGCGGAGATCCTCTGCTCATTTCCCTCAGTCTTCGGCAACCCAGGGCTCACGCCCATAAGCCACCTCCTGCCAATGCCAGATAATCTCCTCATCAGCCACCATCCAGATCATACAGGGGCTTCTCCCAGAAGGGAGCAACATGACACTCGCCATAGCCATGCCACCAGATTCCATGTCAGGTTGTCTCACTTGGGGCACCCCAGAGGTGGGCAGGTGAGAGCCCTCCCCAC